GGGGTGTCTTAAATACTTACAGATAACAGGATTTTGACAAACCTAATACATTTGCAGATGGCACGTTAATGATCTACATGGCTTAACATTTCAAGGGAGGGAGTAAATTCAGATAAGAATTTGAGGTGCCACTGAGGTTTCAGAGCAGGTTGTTATCTGGTCAGGGGGAGTCAAGATTTATGAGGCACCACTAAGGTTTTAGAGAGGGTTGTTATCTGGTCAGGGAAAGCTAGGCATGAATGAGTTCAAGGCACGGGCAGGAATTCCAAACAAGTTTAGAAATCGCAGTAATTTATAGTAAAACAGAAATTAACTTATCATGACTTTTTGATGAGAAGGCTCCCAATCTTGTGATGAAATTAGGCTGGGTTCATTGTAATCAAAACGCCCCAAAGCATGTACTAAATAGTTTATTATTAGCACTCACTTGAAATGCTATGTTAATCATAGCATTAAATTTTAAGTTTTCACACATATATGGGTGTGTTTTTGTATACTCTTAACTCTATGTCTTCATCTTTTTTACTCCTTCCTTGTTAAATTTGGAGTGACATCTTTATCAAGTCATATAAGAAGATAACATTTTTAAGTCTTTTATATGTTAGTAAGGTCTGACAATTTTGTTCACTTCATGTGATGTTTATTTTTAGGTATTCTGTAGCTTGAATCATTAATCTTTTCTTTTTTTCTAACATATGCTAATTATTAAAGAATAAAAATTCTTTTGACTTGTTTGTTGATCTTTTATTGTACATCTTCTTGATTTTTGTATTAAAATTCTAACAATTATTTACAAATCATGTGGCTTTTTCTTCCATCCTAATGTTTATTTTATATTATTTTGTTGTCTTATTAGTGATTAACCTCTTTTGCAACTTGACTGGAAGTGATAACACACAGAGCATCCTTATGGTGCTCCTGACTTTAGTGGGAATCCTTCTAAAATTTAAAAATCAAGTATGTTGTTTCAGTCTACTCCCAGCAGATTCTTTACTAAGCTATGGAAGTTTCTTCTATTCATTTTTATAAAAAATGGAAGTAAATCTTTATCAAATGGGTTTTGTGCATTTACTGAGATAATTATATGTATTTTCTCTCTTAACTTGCTTATGTAGTAGAGGCCACTAATAAAAGTTAAAAATTAAATTTCAAAAAGTAAATGAACACATTAACCTTAAACAAATGAGAATAACAGGATGGGGAGAGATTGGTGAGCTGTAAGTCAAAGGACACAAAAACTTCACGTGGATGGAGCAAGTCCAAGAGATTTACTGTAAATTATGGTGACTGCAATTAATAACAATAAATTATGTTTGAAAATTGCTAAGAGTATAAATAAATAAATAAAATAAAAGTATTGTGTCCAACTACCAAAAAAATTAAAAAAAATAAAAGGAGCTGAGGTTGTGGCTCAGCGGTAGAGCACTCACCTAGCATGTGCAAAGTGCTGGGTTCGATCCTCAGCACCACATAAAAATAAATAAGCAAAATAAAGGTATTGTGTCCAACTACAACTAAAATTTTTTTTTAAATTGCTAAAAGTAGATTTTAAGTTTCCTCACCAGAAAAAACAGTGTATGGAGCCAAGCTCTAGCATTCCAATAAGTATCACATTCCTTGTATTCATTTTATTTACTCATTTCCCAACTGAAGTACATTTAGATTATTTCCATTTTTTTCACAACCACAAACAATGCTGAGATGAGCAAGTCTGTAGATGTCTTCTAGATCATGTGTATGTGTGTGTTTGTGCATGTTTATATGATAAATATCTTATACTCCTAGGTTTCTATGAAGTTAAAAAACTGTTTTAAGATCATGATTGAGTATTCAATATAAGTGTGTGCTTTTTACATTTCTAGTTTTCTAGGTATTTTGAAGTGCTTTTCAGGTCATTTATAGGTGTTCAATGTGAGTACATGCCCTTTTTAGCATCTACTAAATGAGCATACCATTTTTCCTTTTTTCTTTTAGCCACTGCAGTGAATTATAGCTAATTTTTAAAAATCTTCAAGTAATTTTGTATTCATCTGATACTCCCAAACAATCATTGTGACTATGTAAAAGTATGCTAGGGATTGTTTATTCATATTTTATATAAGAAATTTTCATCCATGATCTCAAGTGTAGTTGAGCCATAGTTTTTCTTTCTTGTCTTCTACTTCAGATTTGGTAATGGTTTCTTGCAAGTTCTATTGAAAGCATTGAATAGCTTTCCATCTTTTATAAGCTCTGGAACCATGAATAAAATGTAGGAAATATGTTCCTTGAGGTTTGGTAGAACTCATTCCTTAGCAATTGTTTTTCAAATAGAGTTAATAATATAATCTAGGCCTTCTATACCATCACTTCTTTTTAATGTATCTAAGATGCCTATAAGGGCTGAGGTTATAGCTAAGTCTTAGAGCACTTCCTAGCATGTGTGAGGCACTGGGTTCTATCCTCAGCACCACATAAAAATAAATTAGTAAAATAAAGGCATTGCATCCAAGATGTCATTACAAATGGTTAAAATCTTCTCCTGGTACAAAATTTTTTCATGCTGTTAGTTCAGGCTAGTCCATATTTTCAGTCATTATAATTTCTGGAGTGCATGTTATCTTCATGGACCCCATCCTTTATTAAGACAACATCCTTTATCTTTTGATGCCTTTGCTGTATAATAGCATTACAGACAATGGTAGGTCATTTATGACCTTATCACTTGTGATATTGTAGTCATCTTAGCTTTTGTGTATACACTCTATGATGTTAGCATAATGATGAAATCATTATGTATTTCTCAGAACTATCCCCTCATTAAGTGATTTGTGACTATATATAAATAGTATTACATTGCTTTTGTCTGATCACGTCTTGGGTTAAAAAACATTAGCCTAGCTGAGGTTGTGCTTCAGTGGTAGAGCACCTGTCTAGCACATGGAAGCACTGAATTTGATTCCCAGCACCACATAAAAATAAATCAATCAAATAAAGGTATTGTGTCCATTTACAACTAAATATATGTGTGAGTGTGTGTGTATATATACACACACACTCACACATATATCACACATAAAAATGTTAGCCTAATATATATATATTTTTCAGTATCTTTATTTTACATTTTTGTGGTGCGGAGGATCGAACCCAGTGCCTCCTGCATGCTAGGTGAGCGCTCTACCATTGAGCCACAATCCCCGCCCCTTAGCCTAATATTTTCAAACTTCTTATGTTTTAAGGATTTTCTTGTCAATTTATAGCTGGATTTTGTTCTTAATGAAAAATATCTTTTTAAATTTATGAGTAAAATTAACCCATTTATACTTATTGTACACACAGTTTAGATTTAAGGTTCTAATTTTATTTTATGTTAGCATATTCTGGTTTCTTTTGCTTTTCTTGTTTCCATTTCTGCCTTGTTGATTGGACAGGTTTTCTTTGCTATATCCTCCCCCTTAATGGTCTGCAAATTTTAAATCTCATTTAATTCTTCAGTTTTATCATTAACTTCAAAAACTTAAAAGTCACATATTTAGAACACATATATCCAAAACGAACTCGTGGAGTTAATTTGCATCTTACAGTTCCTTAAAATAGTTCTGATTTTTTTCCTCCTGATTTCCCATTTTCACACTTGTAAAATTGGGAGCATGGATTCTTCAGTCATTATTTTAAGAATTAAGTGTGACTCCTCATCAAGCACCAGCCTTTATAAAGAAGTCTTCTGTTCTTCCATTCCATTTCTTCTTCATTTCGCCCAAACATCGGTGGTCCTTTCAACACAGGCATCTTTCATCTCCTTTGTCCTTCAAACCACCTTCTCTCCTGCATTTCTTCTTGCATCATCATGGCCTTCATCTACTCTTTCAACTTCCTGGTCTCTCAACAACTTCCCAGCCCCGCCTTTACGTTAGAAAACCTCATTCCACGTTGCACTGGGCGGCCTCTCACGCTCCACAGACAAGGAACGTCCTACCCCGATGGCTCCATGCCTTTCTTCATCTCTCCTTCAAAATGGCGGACTTAGACGTTCACGATCCACACCACGTGCGCCTGCGCCTCCCGCGGCCATTTCACCCAGCAGCCCCAGCGCCAGCGCCCGCTGCGAGGCGCCTGCGCACAAAGCGGCTCGGCAGCTCCGCCCCCGGCTGAGTACGCCTGAAACCGCACGTCCCTACCCCCGCCCCCCCGCCGGCCGTCCGCCCTCGCCCTTTCCTGTGAGATTCTTCCGCCAAGTGGAGGCCCATCTTTGGTCGACAACCTACGCACTTGTAGAACAATCCAATAGGCACTTGGAGACCCAGGTCTCCCCATTCAGTCTCATCTGTGCGCCAGGGCAGTTTCTTCTGGGGCCCCCGAAGTTGATAACGGATCTCGCGGGACTCTTTTGCGTAACGTGAGGTAACAAACGGAAAGAATGGGGCGCGGCGGAGGGATTTCGCTGGCGCGCGTCCGTCCCGAGTGGGGGTCGCCCGGGCTCCGGGAGGGGGAGGGGACGGGGAGGAGCCGCCGAGGGATTGTTGTTTTCCTCTGCCCCGCCTCCGCCGCGCCGGCCAGTGGCGACAGGCCGCTTCCCCGCGAGCCCCGCCCGCCGCCCGCGGTCCAGCCAATGAGCGGCGGCAGCGGCTCTGGGGGGCGGGCCCGGGGGCAGTGCGTGTCTAGTGAGAGCTCTTGAACCAAGTAGGAGCTGGAGTCGGCTGGGCGGCTGGGGACGGCCGCCGCCGCCGGTGACTCAGGGAGGCGGGAGGCGGGTGAGCGCGCCGCGGCCTCGGCTGCGGGAGAGGCGGGGGTTCGGGGGCGAGCCCGCGGGCCGCGCGTCGCGCAGGCTGGGCGTGGGGCGGGGGCGGGCCGGGCGGGTGGCCGCGGGCCGGGCCTCTGCGCCGGGCCCTCTCCTTGCCGGGGCTGGGGGCGGGCGCGCAGAGTCCCCCGGCTGCCCCCGCGGCGAGGGGGCCGGGGCTCGGGAAAGCGAAACTTGGCGGGCGGGCCCGCGCCCCACACGCTCGCTTCCGTGTCTGCAGGAGGGTGCTGCCGCCGGCGGAGACATGGTGCTCACGCTCGGGGAGAGCTGGCCGGTGCTGGTGGGGAAGCGGTTCCTCAGCCTGTGCGCGGCCGACGGCGTCGACGACGACTGGGACGTGCAGCGCGTGGCCGAGTGGCCCTGGCTGGCGGGCACGGTCCGCGCAGTGTCCCACCCCGACGTTTCCAGGAAGGACCTGAAGGTGAGCCGCCCCCGCGTTGCCGTGGGAACGCGCAGCCCCCCTGCGGGGCGGCCCGAAAGTTGGCGTCGGACCTGCGGGTGCTGCGGAGGCGACCTCGTGAGTCTGCGGTGCCCGGTCGCTCGGAGTCGCCGGCCGCGGTCTGCGGGGGCTGCGCGCTGCACGGCCGGCGTCGGCCTCGTAGGGCGACGACTCCTCGGCGGGGAGGAGTGGTGCTAGTGTCAGGTTGGGCGAACGGTGACGTCTAGAAGCGGTAGGAATGGGGCTGGTGCCTGGAGGTGCTTTCAGACTTGGGGTGGGGGATGTTCCTCTGGATTTGTTAACTTTTTTTGTTTTTAACTTAAGCACTGGTTAAAAATGAAGTGTGAGTGTAGAGGGAGGAGTTTAGTTCTGCTCGGCGTGTTAGGGTGGGTGTTTGTCCGTATATGGTGGGTCAGCAGGAATGGGTTCCTGGTTATCCGTGAGGAGTCTGTGGGTGGGTGTGGGATATGACCATATATGGAGCGCTGGGGGTGGAGCTGGCCCATATATGGTGCAGTGGAGGAATGGCTTCGAAATCTATATTGCACTTGGGTGTTTGGGGGCAGGGAGAGAAATGGGAGCAAGTGCAGTCAGTGATTTCTTAAACCAAAATGACACTGAGAATCTTTTTCAGTTAGATCTTTGGAAAGAGGGATGAATTCTAATTGTACTCTAATAGAAGTATTGCTGTGAAAAGATTGTCTGGGAACAACCAGTGAGGAAGCCATTGTACCAACAAAGACTCCTTTGTGCAAAAATAGCTGAAAAAAGATCCCTAACAAAGACTGCAAAGTGGTGATAAGTTGGAGGAAGCTTGTCAGAACGGAAGAGATTTCCACTGAGTGATGTGTGTGTTTCAGGATCTTCACTTGGTCACCACTGCATTTTCTTGAAACTGCTCAGGAAATAAAGGAAGCAAGTTTTAACATTAGCAATTGAATATATGTTGATTTCTGAAACACTTCAGTTTTGTACAGTTTATACAGTTGATAGTCTGTCCATTCCCAAACCAGTATGAGTCCACAGAGAGTGGAGGTAGGAGGATATTTGTACTTATGTGTTTTTAAAACTTCTACCAGGTGCCTGGTCTTCATGTTGAGGCAGAGAAGTGAGCATTGAGCACTTAAGCACATGCCAAGCATCATGCTGACCTCTTACCAGCAATGATGCCCCCACTTTACCAGGTCTTAGGGTCACATGACTGGCAACTTGCATAGCCAACTGGCATAATCTGTGTTCTGACCCAGGAAGTTCTACTCCAGGGCTGCCCTCTTCACCATCAGGCTGTGGAATTAAGAGCTGTGCCACAAAAATGCTCCAACCACACACTATGGGATTTGGTTTCTCTCCTCTGTTCCACTCATTCTTGTACCAAAGAAGTTTTCATGTTTATAGAGATAGTGTATTGTACAGGGATAGCCAGCCTATTTATTTTAGGCTAATAACCTTTTTATATAAAATGTAGAGCTTTGTGTATGAGATTTCATCAAGGTGGTTGTGTTTTATTTCATCTAGGTAAATTTTTCTGTAGAACTTGTGTTTTAACTGACTTGAATAGAAACAGTTTTTAAACTGTATAGTCTTTGGTGTTCCCTTGCCTTCCCTTCCATGGAAGTGATTGAGGATCTGTTGTAGGCAGACAATCTAGGAGGTTCTTAGTATGTATTTATTTTTATCTCTATATCCCTGCCACACCCAACTTTCAGGAGCAGTGATACCTTCATTTTCTGGATGAGGAAGGAAGTAGTTTGAGGAAAAGGACTCTTATCTAGACTTGTGTAATTAGCTACTGTAAGTAAGGGAGTGAGGATTTGAATCCAGGTTGGGCAGTGTTTCTTCTCCACTGTACTAAGGTGCCTGACTGGAGACTACTGGGGATTTCAATTCAAGAGCAGTTTTGGTTAATTTGGACTTATGCCCTATCTGCAGACTTCACAACTCAGACGTTTTTAAGATGCAAATCTATATTATTTCTTTATTCTAATCATTACTACTGCATTCCTCAGTAGCCATTGAAATAATTGGCTTAAGTATAAGAACCATGTTGTAGTTAATAAAAATGGATTTTGAAACACTGGAACCAAATAGTGCAGGTAGAACCAAGTAACTAAGACCGTACTTACATCTGGGCTTAGGGACATTGAGCTTTTTTGAGTGGTGAGGTTGGGCGCTGAGGTGACTGAATAAGTAAACTTAGGTAGGTACTCTGTGATGATTTTTCTAAGTTTTAGCACACATACAAGTCAGTCTAGACTGGCAGGCTTAATTGTGAATGATATTAAAGGCTAAGGCTTATTAATTTTGTTTCAGTGCCAGAAAGACTTTGTAACAAAGTCACTTAGGTGACAAAAGCAATATATCTAGTAGTTGATTGCAAAGAAGCGGAAGACATAGTAACAGGAAGTAATGATTGGTTATTATGTGGCAAGTAATAATCCTTACCAGTAGCCTGTTTGGTAAGATTTTGTGTGTGTGTTGGGCGGGGGGTTAGATTGAAGTTTAAAGAAATTACATAACTTGCCCAAGTTTGTCTACAGACTTGAAAAATTAGGCTTTGATATTCAGGTAGAATATGCACTCCTGTAATCCCAGCAGGCTTGGGAGGCTGAGGCAGGAGGATTTCGAGTTCAAAGCCAGCCTCAGCAAGGTGAGGTGCTAAGCAACTCAGTGAGACCCTGTCTCTAAATAAAATACAGAATAGACCTGGGGATGTGGCTCAGTGGTCAAGTGCCCTTGAGTTCAATCCCCAGTGCCTTAAAAAAAAAAAAAAATTGCTTCGAGCACTTTATTTTGCTAGCCTTTGAATCCTTCATACCTTGAACACTATGTAGTATGTACTTGTACTTAAATATCTGCATGAATAAGTGAAGGAATCAAAATAATTACTATTAGGAAACGGTTTACAAATAACAGTTCAGAAATAACTGCTGGGGCAGTAGCCTTTTCTACCTCTAGAATAACAGATCTTAGTTAAATGTGGTTCCCAGGACTGACTTCATCTTTCATCCTTCTGCTTGAGTGTGAACTGTTTTCTTTTGTATTAGGTGTGCAGGGAATGTCCTCCTTCCCCAGTTTGCCTATCTAAGTCTTTATCTTTCTTTAACCCTACTTTTTTCTGTCTGTCTATCTATCTATTTATTTATTTATGGTGCTGAGGATCGAACCCAGTTCCTCACACATGCTAGGCAAGCGCTCTACTGCTGAGCCACAATCCCACCTGTTTTTCATCTTTATGTATCGTTTCCTACTGTTGTCAGCAAATGAGTGGCCTGACCAATGCCTTTCATCCTTGTATACAGTTGGAACTTGAATATTGGTGGATTCTGCTGCCAGCCAGGCTATGTAAGATGAGAAACTCCTGGTGCAGTGTAATAGAGACTGTTTACTACTTATAATTGAATACTAGACTCAGGTTTTAGGTAAGCATTTTATTTTCATGTAAGAAGATGTAATGGAAGCGTAGTGAATTAATTTCTATTTTTTGGAATAGTGAAACTTGTATTCTGCATTGTAGAACTAGGCAGAGTCAATATATAGTCAAACATTTAACTACAAACCATGCTGTTCTGTGTATTTCTACCTTCACATTTGGTAACATTCTCCTTGGCAGTTCCCGTAGTTTTCATAATCATATGCTCAGGAGAGATGAGTTTTTGCTGAGATTAGCTATAACATTAATTCACGTATCATGTAAGATTTTCTTTTGGGAAAAATTAGCTTTGAAGTAATTGATTTGAAATATCTAACATTTGGTCAAAATATTTGATAGCCTAATCAGTTGCACATTTACAAAAGGCCCTATTACAAGAATAGTAAAATTGGAAGTTCAGGTAGGCAGTCATAACTGACCTTTGTTTGGCCTTTAGTGTCAGACAGCACAAGTAACTTTGTGGGCCTAGGGAGCATGGGAAAAAGAACACAGCAGAAGCTCATTTCATTTGTCAGCCTGCATAAACTGGATGAGTCACCCTTAGTTCTTTCTGAATATGAACGTCTTCTGTCTGCCCCAAAGTATCTGCAAAAGAGACTTTAGGGGAGGTGTCCTTCAGTATTGAACCTCAGGCTTTAAGGAAAAAATGAAAGACATACATGGGTTTTTGTTTTGTTTTGCTGCACAGGGAATGGAACCCAGGGCCTTGTGCAGGAGCTGAACTTAAAATTAAAAGTACTTAAAAATTGAGATATTTGAGTTTTAGTTTGTGTTATCTTAAGTTTTAAATAGTGGTCTGATAAACATTGTTGCTTATATTTGGGAAAACCACTTAAAGTCTTAATCCTTCCTTCATTTTTTTTTCAGTGTTGAGTAGATCTGGTTATGTTGAAGACTCTCTCCTTCACTCATAACTTCAGTGATATGGTGATATGATTTAGATTACCATGTAGGTCTTAAAACTACCTGGCTGCACTTTACATACCTTGTTGTAATATGTGTTTTATGGTGATATGGTGTTTCATGCCTGTATTCTCAGTGATTTGGGAGGCCTAGGTAGAAGAATGCACATTCAAGGCTAACCTGGGCAACTTGGCAAGACCCTGTCTCAAATAATAAAAAAGGCTGGGGATGTAGCTCAGTGGTAGAACACCCCTCTTTGAGTTCATTCCCCAGTACCGACCCCTCCCCCATCTACCTAACAGTTCAGTGAGAGTTAGAGGTTACTGCTTTCTTTTTGAAGTTAATAAAACAAGATTCAGCGATCTAGACTTCTAAGTAAGAATTCTAAACCTGGGATGCAGTTGAGTTGGTTTCCTTTCTAATCACGTTTTGTTTTATGCAAGTAATATCAAGCAAAGTTTCAACATAGTGGGATTCAAGCCGAGGTCTCTCTGATTCTGAAATTTGTGTGCTTATTCCTTTTATATCACATATCTGAAAGATGGGAAAACTGGCATGGAAAGCTAAGTTGGGGTTGAAAGACTAAGTCTCTCTGTGGGAGATGTCAGGAGACCTGGATCCTCTGGCAAGGAAGCCAGGAAAATGAGCAGTCTCAGTACACCTTGGTAAGGAGCATTGGTTGGTTGGTTGAAGTGATAGAATAGATATAACCTGGGAGAAAGGCTTTGCCACATAGCTGTTCTCCATTTGCATTTATTCTGATTTGGTGGAAAGTATAAGGTGGTTACTGCAAAATATCCTTCCATACAAGAAGTTATGCAGCATCCTAGCCAAATTGCCTGGGAAGTTAAGGATGTGTGTTTATTGTTGCTAGAAGGGTAGAGTGGGTCTTAATTTTATCTTTTTTTTAAAGATATCCTGTAGATTGGAAAAGGTTCAGGATTGGAATTAACAGTGTATCAGCTGAAATTTACAGCTTTTTAGGTGAAATAAGAGAAATGGAATGTAGGAGCTCAGTTCAGAGAGAAGTTCATTTATTTATGCTTAATAAGTCTTTGAGTAATGATAGGGACTGTATACCAGTGACAAGACAGTGAGCAAAAACAGACACAAACTTCGACCTATTTGATTCACGTGTCAGTTGACTAGCCATAAATTTAATGCCAACTGGTGCGTAAGTGCTAGGAGGGAAATGCATAGAGCTCTGAGGACAGTTAGCCAGGGGGACCTCTCTCAGGAGGGGAAAGGCTCTTTTGCAAGGGGAGGCTTCTTTGAGGAAAGGATTCTTAAGTTGGGTTCTGACCATGTAGTTAGTAAAGACATCTGTGAAATCATAAGATTTGATAGAGATGGGTTCGTTAATAATCCTTGAAACACCAAAAAAGAGGTCTCTTATAAGACGAAGAATTTTAAATAAAAATAGTGATTTTCTCACTGAATATTAAGGGAGTTTATTCAAGTCTGCTAAAATATGTAAATGTTTAAAAAAGTTTTAGAATAAATTAAGGGGCAGCATATTCATAATAGCTAATGAAATTTGAGTGTTTTGACCAGTCACAGTGGCACATGCTTATAATCCCAGCAGCTCTGGAGGCTGAGTCAGAAGGATCTCAAGTTCAAAGCCAGTTTTAGCAACTTAGTAAGAACCTGTCTCAAAATAAAAAGGGCGGAGGCTGGGGATGTGGCTCAGTGGTAAAGTGCTCTGGGTTCAATCCCAATACCAAAGAAATAAATTTGGGTGTTTTGGGTGCATCATATGACCTTTAAGGTTTTGTGAACAATTCCTACCTCTGGGAGTTGCCAGAGACCAACTTTTGTCTGATTTTTACAAAAATGTCTTTGTAAATTTATTTAAGTTTTAAAGGATTAAAGCCTTATGGTTAAAAGATATTTTGCCTATCTGAAGCCGAAAACATTACAGTTACTTGGAAATTTATATTTCAAAGGTAGTTTGACTTTTATATAAGCAACTAGACCGGCTGAGTGGGTCTTTCAGTGATTGGGTGCTTGTCTATCATGAATGAGGTGCTCTGGTTTATCCCCAACAACAGGAATTAAAAAAAAAATTTTTTTTAGTTGTTAGACCTTTATTTATTTATATGCAGTGCTGAAAATAGAACCCAGTGCCTCACAAGTATGGCAAGTGTGCCAGGCAAGTATGCTACCTCTGATTCACAGCCCCAGCCCCCCAATACCAGGAATTAAAAAAAAAAAAAAAAGTAGTTCTGGGGTCATTTATTAATTACTTATTTCTTTTATCGTGTAAAATAGTTTTAGACTCCCAACCCTGAAGTAAATTTCTCCCTTTTCTCTATTGAAAGGTATATTGAAGGTGTGTCATGCATTAGGGCTTTTTGCTAAGTAGTCTACCAGAGGAGTCTAAAAGCAGCTGGTGTCATGATGGGGTCTTCTTAAGCCCACTGCAGTGTCAACAGAGAATTGAATTACAATGCACTTGGAAAAGTAGTTGTTCTGGGTTTCAGATTTGTCTCATCTAATTCCCAAAGTTCACACATCTAATTAACATGTAAATCCCTTCTAAGTGGGGTTCTTTGGTTTCTGGGCTACCCAGAGACTACTTTGAGGGCACTGATCCTGAAAGCCCTGAACTTTTGTATCCCAGGGTAGTTTGGGGATCAAGTTTGGTACATGTGTGATTATTTTGCTGTGGCTATGAAGGAAAGGCAGGGAACTAGGAGGGAGTAACACATGCATGTGGGAGACTCAAGAATAATAATGACATGGTTAAGCTTGTATGTTGATAATGTTTGTGACTTGAATCTGCTTTTCCAATTTTCATCCAGGTATGTGTCGAGTTTGATGGGGAATCTTGGAGGAAGAGAAGATGGATAGAAGTCTACAGCCTTCAGAGGAAAGCATTTTTGGTAGAACATAATTTGGTTTTGGCTGAACGAAAGTCACCTGAAATTTCTGAACGAACTATTCAGTGGCCTGCAATAGTGAGTAAAACTGAGGAAAAGAGAACATTTCATCTGTTTTGGGTAAAACAAGGAAAATATAAATGAAATGCCTGTGTTTGGTCCTTGTCACACACATGAAACAGTAGTCCATGTTTGTGACAAGGCAGAGGGTATAAAAGCACCTAGAATCTTCTGCCAGACCTTGTAGGAGCTCTGCAACTCTGGGCCTATCCCTGGGCTTTTAGGGTCTTATTTTCTTCACTTGAAAAATGGGGGACGAAGTAGTGTGGGGAATGTCAAGGTCAGAGGTCAGAAACTGGTAGTCATACATACATATAGATAGATCTGTTTGGTTTGGCCCAAACAGTTAAGTGTTTTAAGAAAATTGAGTTAGCTGCCTTTTTAAAAAAATGTGGAATGTGCATTTAGATTTCCAGTGTCTGTAAAATTGGTGAGACTAGGCAGCACTGGGTAGGTCTCTGTGGCAGCAATCCATAAAAGAGGTTTCCATTCCTGGCCTCAGGGTCTCCAAGGTTCCTCCTGCTCTGGATTGTTTTTGGCTCTAAATATACTACAAGAAGGTCTGGGTTGTATCTACGTTGTAAATGTGGTGCAGTTTGAGGAAGAGAGTGACCACTGTATCTGGAGAGGACATCTGGAGCTTATGAGGAAGGTCAGGTACAGGTAGTTGGAAAGGCCAGAATGGTGCTTGAAAGTTGGCCAGATCCTGGAGGGCCTCACCTGCTGCTGGCAAAGCCAGGGTTTTGCTCATGAGTGAGAAGAGCTGCTGGAGGTCACAGTTTAAGTCATATTTTGCTCTTTATATTTTTGTGTCCACCTGCTAAGAGTTTTCTGAAATCATAATCCAGTCTCCCCAGAAAATGTGCATATACTTCTTTTGCATAAATTTTTAGGAAATGGAGGATCTGGGGACCTGTGTGTTAATGACTCCCAAATGCATATCTGGTTTAAATTACTAGGTTTAAATGAAAATTGTGTGATTTTTGTAGGTACCTCATTATTATGAGGTCCTTGCAGTAAACACAAGCTTTGTTACTTCCTGTGTGCCTAAAAATTGCCAGTTCCATTTTCAGAATGATGCTGATAGCAATTATGATGCCAAACTTTTTTTTTTCCCCAGGTGTACAAACCTTTGTTGGACAAAGTTGGTTTGGGATCCATAACTTCTGTTCGCTTCCTAGGAGATCAGCAAAGCATATTTCTTTCCAAAGATCTTTTAAAGCCTATACAGGTAAATCATCCTTAAATCATTCTTAAAAACAGAGATTCAAGTTCTTTTAACATGAGAAGTAAGATTGGTGTTTTGCCCATATTTAGATGCCTAATAAAGCGATGAACCCATCCCATCAAGAGTTAGTTGTGGGGGCTGGGGACACAGCTCAGTTGGTAGAGTGCTTGCCTTGTATGCACAAGGCCCTGAGTTGAGTCCCCAGCACCACAAAAAAAAAAGGGTTAGTTGTTGGGCCTGGGCCAGGCACGGTAGCATACGCTATGTGGCTCGGGAGGCTGAGGCAGGAGGATCGTGAGTTCAAAGTCAGCCTCAGCAAAAAGTGAGGTGCTAAGCAACTCAGTGAGACCCTGTCTCTAAAATACAAAATAGGGCTGTGGATGTAGCTCAGTTGTTGAGTGCCTCTGGGTTCAATCCCTGATATCCCCCCCAAAAAAGGGTTGTTGGATTGCATCCTTCAATTGTAGCCTATGGTCTGTGCCATCCATTTGGTTTGAAAGGACAGGGTATACAATTGATGGTATGTATGGAAACACCTAGGTGACATGGAAATAATGTTGGAAAGTTGACTATTGCAGTTGTGTGTATGTGCATGAGTACACACAGGCATACAATAATGCAGCTGATCCTGGTTACTCATGGATTGTATGTTTGTGAATTTGCCTACCTACTAAAATATATTTGTAGCCCCCACATCAGTACTTGTGGTGGCTTACATTCATTCATCCATGTGCACAGAACACTTTTGAGTTGCCTGATGCAGGTTCCCACTGAGGCCAGTTAAGGTGATGTTCCTTTGCCATCTTATTTCAGCTCTCCTGGTGTAAACAAGTACCTTTTTTGCAACTTATTTAGTTTCACTGTTTCGTGTTTTTGTTTTTGCTTTTTTTCTTGTTTTCCTTTTGTGATTTTTTTTCTGTGTAAAGTGTCCCAGATGTAGTGCTGAGATGTTGTTTGGTGTTTATAAGCTCAAGAAAGCTGTGGTGGGGCTCGCCTGGCATGCGTGCGGCCCAGGTTCGATCCTCAGCACCACATACAAACAAAGATGTTGTGTCCGCCGAAAACTAAAAAAAAGAAAAAAAAAAAAGCTGTGGTGGGTCTGAAGTACATGTGTTAGAGGAGCTTTTGCCCAGCCGTCAGGTGGGGTGCTTGTGGACACGAGTTCAAGGCTGATGAATCTGCAATGTGTATTGCATAAGGTGTCTTTCATAGAAACACATCCAGCAAGGTTATATATTGATCAGTCGATGAGAATGTGACCAGAGGTTCATAAGATCCCATGTTTCTCTTAAGACCCATGGCTTGGTATTCACTAATTCTCCTTTTGGCAATCTGGTGGAACATAACTGAGGATTGGCTGTATACACATACATTCTTTTCAGTTCGTTTGGAAAACTCTCACCTTTAAACGTGGGCTTTTGGTTGTTTATATTAGTATTTGTTATGAAAATGTTAGAAGGGAGGAGATCACTGCCTTCAGAATACTATTGGTTTTGTAATGACATCTGTCCCCTTTACGCACTGCACTCTGTTTTGTGATTTCAGACCTGACTTGTTTCTGTAGTATGCACAACTGTTAAACCTGTGTGTTTGCTAATAGGCAGCCTGGGCCGGTGGCTGAGTTTCTGGGCCTGTACTGGAAAGCCACACACTGGCTTTTGCAACAATTGGCTTTGCTTTTACTTCCATATCCTGGAAATGAGTGAAAACAAGGCCCATCATGTAGGCTTCATTTTATAATGTAGAAGTAGTTAGAATAAAGGAGGATGCTTCCACTTAAGTTCGCATGCAAGCTACCTTCGTATGTTACTAGGCATCTTGATGGTTTTCCTGCCTTGAGAAGAATGATTTGTTTACAGGACCAGTGACACAGATGGGTGTTTGGCTCTTTTGCCTTACTGGGTGGTAGAATAGTTTTTACTTGCCAGCATTGTTTCCTGAATTTACATCTTCCACATGTCCTAGTTTTTCAGTTAAGGTAGAAGTATTAGTTTTGTTTCTCGAAATTAAAAAGGAAAAATCTAGGGCTGGGATTGTAGCTCAGTGGTAGAGCACTTGCCTAGCTCATATGAGGCACTGGGTTTGATCGTCAGTATCTATATTATAGATAGATAGATAGATACATAGATAATACCTTTATTTATCTATCTTCAACTAAAAAAAAACTTATAAAAAGGGAAAATCTAGATTAGTGTTTGTTCTCAGTGAGTTGTACCTTGGGTTCTCAGTGTGAAAATTGTTCTTAATGTAATACTAATATATAATTCATTGAGGGAAACTTCAGTGTGCATTCTTGGCTTTTACTCAGGACACTATTGTGTAGATATGGATGATCACATCAGGCTTCTGCTGAATGAATTTATAGGATGCTTGCTCTAAATAATGCAGAGAGCACCTGAATGTCATTTGGCATATGCAGAAGTTGGTATTGAAACTTAAGGTGTGTGGTTAGATGGATTTGACTCAGTTACTTATGGTTAAGAAATAAGACAGGGTCTCTAGATGAACTATCTAGCACTTCAGATAGGCCCTAAAACTGTCCTAGGTAGACTAGAATCACTCTGCCTTTCCAGGGAGCCCCATATGGCTCTCTGCATCAATAGATTGCTTATCTTATAATAAGAATTGGAATTTTTTTTTTGATATTGTAGTACTAAATTATGAGGGGGAAAAAACCCAACCAATATATGACCCATTCTGGTAATTAGCTTTGAGCTGTTGTGGCTGCCCTGGTTTATGTAGCAATATCTGACTAAGAAAATGCACTATTCCAGCTCAGCCTTCTTCTCTAAGTGGGAGAAATGGGTGGACTGCTCTTGCTGCTGTGGATGTATCTCACAGTAGCAGAGAAGTGGGAAGGCCCTGAGTTGTAAGGGCTGCTATGTTTAGCACTGTTTTTCTTTGCCCTGCTAGAATTTTGGTTTGGCTGGTTGTTCCTATTGACGGTCTGTATACATTTGTCATAACTGGGTGTGTACACAAAGCCAGAGGGCGGACGAGTGCCAGGTGGGGCAGCTGCCAAGAACCGAGTGTTTCAGAACTGGCTCGCTCTGAAGCTCTGGGCTGCGCATTCAGGTTTTCTGTTTGTCATCCCCCACCACCAGCTTCCTTACCTTTTGTAAAGTAGAATGTATTTGGGATATAGTTAGGTTAAATGAATTTATATGAAATGAGATGTTAAAACAGCGATTTTAGTGAATTGACAATGAGCATCTCTCCGGTGTGTCTTTGTTTCTTGGATTGGGCTTGGGATTTCCCAGTATTTGGTATATGGATTTGTTTTAACGTTGGATCAACCAACTTGTTTATTCACTTATTATTTTCCCATAACCAAAGTTATGTCATGCTTAAAATCATGATTGAGTCACTTGGTATTTCTCATGCTCTCGGCATGGGTGACTTCCTCTCAGTTGGCCTTATGCCTGTGTTTGATAATTTCCAACTTCTTGACCTACTCAGTTCACTGGAGTTGAAATGGTTTGGTGCCATCAAATGGCTAGTTGACATTACCTGAACTGGTCTGGATGACCAGTTGAAATGGTCATTGGGATTTATAAATAATTCCTTTTTGTTTCCTTAAAGTGTAACAATCTTTGATTTTACAGGATGTAAACAATCTTCGGCTTTCCCTTACTGATAATCAGAGCATCAGTAAAGAATTTCAGGCTTTGATTGTGAAACATTTAGATGAAAGCCATCTTTTAAAAGGTATGTGGATGCTCTCTTGTTGATAGTTCATAAGTTGACCAATGATTGCTTTTAAGAAGCTATGGTTTAGCTCTTCTCCCTCATTCTGTCATTAAGATTTCTTATTTTTTTTCATTGTAATTAATTTTAAAATTGAAAAATAAAAGTTTTCCTATGTAACATGATTGAGGAGTTTAATTTGTAAAGTTCAGAAATTATGTGAAATTATAAATGTAATGTAGGCATTTTAAAAGCTCAGTTATATTCTGACATGGAATTTGATGTTTGGAATTTTAGTTGTATAAAATTCCTTGGTAATCCTTACCTTCCCATTTAATGGTATTGAGTTTCTCAGTTTCACAGTCATGAAGAAAAAAAATTTTTTTTTTTTTCTGAATTAAACTCACAGTTCTGTTGGGGTTCCTAAATTTGATTCCTCTAAAACTACACAGAACAGTGAGTTTCTGATGAATTGTCTGATACTTTTTGTTCTGATGGAATGTGTCAAAATAAATATATTATTTGAATTCAAATCTGTAAGAAAATGGAGCATTAAAAGCCTACATTTTCTCTTAGCTTTGCTGAAATGTCTGTTTTAAGTTTGTAGCAATTATTTTATCTTTATGTTTATAGAAATTACAGATTTGGGGACGAATGTCTTGGATAATGGTGCTATTGGAAGGTAGCGCAGATTCTCTAACATTTTTTTTCGTTTATTTTTTTAAGGTGACAAAAACTTAGTTGGTTCAGAAGTAAAAATTTATAGTTTGGACCCATCTACTCAGTGGTTTTCAGCAACTGTTGTGAATGGAAACCCAGCATCTAAAACTCTTCAAGTCAACTGTGAGGAGGTAAAGACCATGGTAACTGTGTGAAAGATGAGTTCCAGGGCCACATAACCACACAGAAAATCTGTGATCTTAAAGGACCTAATAATATTTTCTCATTTTATGAATTGAGAATAAGAGATAGAAATTATTACTATCATTTTTAAAAGAAATTATTTGTAAGATACTCTATTATTTTAATAGAGCCAATTTTCAATGTGTTCCTAAGCATTTAAAAAATTTTTAGTTTTTTTTTTAATGGTTTTTAATTGTGAGTGTATCATTATTTTACTTATTTATATGCAGTGCTGAGAATTGAACCTAGTGCCTCACACATGCTAGGCAAGCACTCCACCACTGAGCTACAACCCCAGCCCCTCTTTGTTTTTGTTTTTAAGATTCCAGCATTGAAAATTGTCGATCCCTCACTGATTCATGTTGAAGTTGTACATGATAACTTCGTGACATATGGTAAGATACAGTACTATCTAATTAAAATCTTTCTTCTCCTTCCCCCTTTTCTCTGTTTTCCTTATGTTACAAGAAACCAGCTTACCTATTTTTACACATTTTAGATAATTCTGCAAGAATTGGAGGTGTAAAACGGAAGTCTTCTGAGAATAATGGAAGCTTGGTTTCCAAACAAGCAAAATCTTGCTCTGAGGTAATCTTGGTTTGCTTTTGTCATTTGTGTAAAGTTTCTTTAGCTCTGCTGTTGCATGGCCAGACTCTGTAGTAGTTAGATAGATGTCTTTTCTGTTGGCTGTGTGCTGTCTCGTCCACTCTTTTGTGCAAGTTCCCGATCTTGGCCATGATTTCTACACTGCAGCAGATGGAGATAATATAAGTTTCTAGTTCACTATTTTTTGCGTTAAAAATAAGTTTGGGGGCTGGGGTTGTGGCTCAGTTGGCAGAGTGCTTGCCTGGCATATGGAGGCACTGGGTTCGATCTTCGGCACCGCATAAAAACAAAATAAAGGCATTATATCCATCTACTATATATATGTAGTAGATGGATATAATATACATATATATATGTATTTTAAGGTTTCGTTTTTGGGGATATTTGCTGGAAATTCTTAGCAGATGTGACAATTTTACCACATGCGGGAGTTTTTGAAGGTAAATTGAATTGTATGTGTTATATTGGAAGGAGACAAGGGAAAGAATCTTAAAATTCTGAGTAGATTGGATGTTGATGAAATGGACCCCTTGATCTCTTGATAATAAGGAAGTTTCATTGGTCTTTCATGGTTAGGTATGGAAATGTACTGGTTTTTTCAAAGCAAGTAGTTGATTTGCCATTATAATTTCTGCCAGAAAAGGTTTGGGCTTCCATGAATGCCATGTGGATTCAGGTGCCAAATTTAATTCTGTTCCCAAATAGTTGCTATTTGGATCAAGAAATTTTGTTTCTCTCTAGGTGAGTTCAAACATTAGGACCTGTTCCAGTACAAATGACTTTCTGAACTTTGGGATAAAAATGCATTTGTGTTGATGGATATTTCCTTAGTATGATTATTTAAAACACTTCTGTGGGTGGGGATTGAAGCTCAGTAGTAGAGGGCTTGTTTAGCATGTGCAGGACAAACCTGGGATATGCCCCCAGCACCACAAAAACAAGACACCTTTATGATGCTGTGCTCCAGGGTGAAGTATAGATTTTTAAAACTGATCAGGATATTATTATTAAGAGTATCCACAGGGGGCTTGTGGATCAGTGGTAGAGCACTTGCCTAGTATGTGTGAGGCCCTGGGTTCGATCCTTAGCACTATATAAAAATAAATAAATAAAATAACGATTTTTTTTTTTTTAAAGTGTCCACAATATTTGAAAAGGAACCTTGAGGTCTCGGGAGCCAGGCAAGGAGCAACAGCATGGGTAATGGACCAGGGTCAGTGAGGGAATCAAGGTTCATGGTGGGGGCAGACTGGACCACAGTGTTGACTAGAACCAGAGCTAGCACTGTGCTATAGCACACAGTAGTCTCTGTGGCTAGTGGCCGGAGGGCTTTCCTGATCCTACCTAGGAACTTCGATACCTCTCCAAAAGCTTTGTACACCAAGGTATCTTGGGTGGATGCTCAGGTTGTTCAGGAAAGAAGGAAAAAGTCATTATAGAAATTAGTGTTAATTACCTTTTATTTTTGCCTTGGAGTTACAAGGTTGAACACTTACCACGGCTGGGTACTTGGTCCTAAAGACTGAAGTGTATTTGGAGTTCCTGCCTTAAAGAGCCTGTAGTTGGGGGTGGGTGGGTTCAGATTATAGTGTCCCACAAGCTTGGAGGGCATGCTCTGAGCAGGAGCTGTGCAGGTGCCTGCCTCACAGAGTAGTATAGGCAGACGTTCTCAAGAGTGTGTCCCTTTGTTAGAGGGCATGTGGCTGGAGGAGCATAAAAGGAAGAGTAAAGGAGAGAGAGATACAGCAGACTCAAGTTGAGTTTTATCTGGCAGTTAGGTATGGAGGGTGATTTAGGGTATTAGGGGTTTTAAGTTTTACGTGATGGACTTGAGCTTTAGGGATGATGGGTGAAGGAAGGGGGTTGGATAGAAATCAGGGCACAGGTGAAGTTAGTGGGATTGTCGATCACGGAGGAGCATGAAGCCAGTCAGTGAACTGAGGCAGTGGAGAGCTGCTTTGGAGGCAGTGTTGACTTGGCCCATTGGAAGACTAGGTGTGAGGACTGAGGACGAGGGTGTTTCCTAACAGTGGGTAGAAAACTGCTGAAGCTTAGAAAGTGCAAGGGACACGGTCGGTCATTCATGGTGTTGTGTGCTCCCCCAGTTTAGAAGGGCTGAGCTGGTGGGAGAAGGAAATAGAAGCAAGACTCTGGGTTGAGGACTGTGAAGGGGATGCCAAGCCAGCAAGTGAGTGTTGCATCTTAGAGTTAAACTCAGAGAGGTCATTGCCAATTAATCCCCCTGGTGAGAAGCTAGGTGGAGTTGTAGCCTGTCAGGTGTGACATTGGAATTATTAGCCATCTAGGGTAGAGACCAGTAAAGGCCAGTTTGCCAAGGCTATTGGGAGTAGGCAAGTGCTACCTGATGCAGTGGCTATCTGTGGGAACAGTCAAGGGGCATGGAAAGGAGGGTTGTGAGAGCACTAGGGGACATGGGGTAGAAATGGGAGACCTTATTTGGAGAGGAAGAATGGACAGAACTGAGGTTAGGGGTTTCCTGGGGAAAGGTGTCAGTTCTTCCAAGTGTCAGGTTTATCATCGACAGAAAGGGGGTGGAGTAAATTTGTAACCTTCAAGGAGGTGCTTGTGAAATGTGGTAGTACGCACATGTGTGATGTGATCCTCTGCCCAACGCATGCTCTGGAAGGGCAGGGAGTGGGACCGTCCATATACCCAGGAGCAACAAGTGGATATATTGGGCACAACAGAAGCTGTTAAAAGTGTAAGCCTGAACTTCAGCCTGGGGATGAATTTCTTAACCTCTGCATCTGAAATGAGAAACAGAATTCCATGTTTTAAAAAGCCTGTGTCAGCTCTTAAGCACTGAACAAGGCATCTTATTCTAATAGAAATTGGAGGTCTTAGGTGTTTACCTGGAGTATTAGAAGTCTTAGAAGTCTGACATTGATTTTTAAAGTTATTTTATAATTTTTGGTTTATTTAGAAAATGCAACAAAAAGAAGAAACCTCACTTGTCATTGTGCTTCTCAGAGACTCTTTGTTTTGAAATCCTTCCTTGCTCCTTTCCTTATCATATATCACGGAGGCCTGTTTTTCTTTTTCTTTTTTTTTTTTTTTTTAAATAAACTAAACACATGCTTTTCTGTAGCCTCCGTGAGTATTTTTTCATATCACCGTTCTTTTTAATCCTGGGTGATTCTTAGAATGAGGCAAGTGTAGGAAACCCAGCTGGCCTCGACTCCAGGGGCTGAAGAGGTGAAGGAATGGAGGAGCTAATGTGTGGGGTGAGTGGAAGCACCGCAGCACACAGCCCGGCTCTTCCTGCTCGCACCTCCCAGGTGCGCTGAGCTGTGAGGCTTGACTTGCAGGGTTGTTGTGGGAAGCAGGAGTTTGGGATTAGGTAGGCACGATCCTGGGCTGCCCTGATATGAGTCCTTTTGGATGAGATAAGCCTGTGTGCCAGTGGCAGCTGGCTCCTTGAAGGTCTTCTCTGCCTAGCAGACTATTCCTCAGAGTTTGGATGCTGCCTGGTTAGTTGAGAGGTCTGCTGAGGAGTGAGCCAGCAGTGCCCTTGTAAGAAACTGTCGTGCACTCAATTATATTATCTCCGTCTGCTGGCAGGGAGGAACTATTGCCATGACTGGTATAGAAGACCTTCAGGGAAGCTCTTCAGGTAAGGAGAAACTTTGACCTTTTCTGAGTCAGAGACAGTGCAGAGGTGTACACAGGAGGAATGACGGGCTGGGAGGCAGTGTCCATCCCATGGAGCTTCACCTTAGGCAAGTCGCAGGGGTGTCCTTAAGCTGCTTCAAGGAAAGCACCCCAAGTTAAGTGAATTCTATCACACAATGATGCAGCTGAGAAAACTTCTGCAGAATTTTTCTGCATTAAGATAGTTGAACCCAAAATTGATTTTGCTGTGTGTCAAGCTGCTGTGGTAAAGCACAATCCTGTGAAGTATGCTTTGTTACTCTCACTGTGCGAGATTAGTGTGCCAGGAATTGTCAAGACTGAATTCAAACCAGGGTCTAACACCAGAATTCAGTGTTGGTCACTGCTGTGTTGTCCTCAGGCCTCTTAGATGCTGTCCTTGGTGTGGCGGTCACCACCATCACAACAGATCATCCTGCTCCTCTCCTTCCTGCTAGCCCACCCACCCTCCCTCCCACCCTCCTTCCTTCCAACACACACTTTATGAATATTTGCTTATGAGAAACACTGACCATTATTACTGCCTCAGCTAACCCATAAGACTTACTTATTAAATATCTGTTTAAAAATACGAGGTGGTAACTGCATTTGTTCACTGGTACATCATTCCGCCAGTCTTGTTTTTATTGAGCATCTGCCGTATGTCTGGATTTGAAGTGGTGTTAACAGACACAGGGACAGGGCCTCTGCCCATAAGTAGTGTAATTTCCCTTGTGAAACTGACAGTAACTAAGTAGAAGGTACTTTGACAGTATGACAAATGATTGAGAAAGATGTAAGCATGGTAGGAGTATGATAGTAGTAGGGTAGTGGCTCATGGGACCTACTTTGGAGTGAGTCATCGGGGATTCTGAGGAGGAGACATTTGAGCCAGTGGAGGGTGACTGCAGGAACTGGCTAGCCACTGAAGACTGCAGGCAGAGGGAGTAGCAAGGCTAGAGAGGCTTGGGCTGTTTGAAGATTGGGACCAGGGAGGAAGCCAGTGCAGCAGGAGGACGATGAGCAAGGGAGAGAGTGAAGTGGGATGGGCGATGGAGTTGACAGTCTGGAACACATGGGGTTCCTGCAGGCAGCAGAGTGCTGCCGTCTTATCGACTTCTATTTTAGAAAGATTCCTCAGTGGTAGAATAAATTTTGAGCAGGAAGCAGAGGATTAGCAAAGATGGAAGAAAGTCAGGCTAGCTACAAGATATGTAGTCCAGGGGGAGAGGTGTTGATAGCATGGCAGGGAAAGAAGTGGATAGATTGAATATTTTGGAAATAGAGGCAAGGTTTGAATCATTGATTGGATATGGGAAATGGGAGAGATGGAGAGATTTTTTGGCAGTTTGACAGACATTGTAGTCAAAATTTATGCATAGATGTTTTGGTCCAGTCTTTCTAATTATGTTCTCAGTAGTGAATTCAAGCACAGGTGTGAGTGCATCAACTCTGAACATATTCAGAGTAAGATGGTAGCTATGAGGAAAGGTAAGAGTGAGCCTGAAATGAGCGTTGGTAAAGACTGGGCAATTTGGGCTGGGGATATAGCTCAGTTGGTAGGCACAAGGTCCTGGGTTCAATCCCCAGCACATACACACACAAAGATTGGGCAATTAAACTTTGGGAGGCTGGCCTTTTAATAGGTGATTACCAGAGAATTATAAAATAATACTCAAAAGAGAATTATAAAATAATACTCAAAATACACAGCTCATTTCTTCATTTAAAGGATTAGGAAACCAGTCCAGAGAGGTATAGTTGACTATCCCAAGCTTGTACTCCACCCCTATTCCCTTAAGTCCAAGAGCAAACATGTATCTTCTGGAGACCACTAGGTTCATGTTTAAGGAGAGGAAAGTTGAACATGCAATGAGAAATAGTAGAACAAACAATGAGATCACTCAGCAATTAAGTAGCTTGAAGCTCTGCCAAAACTTTGTTAGTGTTGTTAAGTTCTTTTCAGGTGTTTCTGTGTTGTTTTTGAGATAGTCTTGCTCTGTTGCCCAAACAGGTGTGAAACTCCTGAGCTCAAGTGATTGCCCTGCCTCAGCCTTCCAGGTAGCTGAGATTATAGGTTATGCCACCATGCCTGGAGTATTTTCCAGGCTGCCAGAATAAATGAGGAAAAGACTTGTGTACATGACATCTAAATATATTTAGAATTGTCAGGGCTCAAGTTCTACATCAGATTTTAGAAGCTAATGACTAGAAGAAGAAACTTTGAAGGTTCTTTGGGTTGGGTGGAAGGAGAGAGAAAGGGCACCACGGCACCCACAGAGGTGACGGAGAGGTTTGACTTACACCTGGGGCCTGGGGAGCCTGTGCCACCTGGTGCAACCATGGTAACTGTCCTGCATGCACCTCTTCCTTCTTGTGTCAGGGTGGGAAGTTTATTTTTGTGGATGAGAAACTGGAGAGAGGTGTTTCCAATGTGTTCATTTGGTGAAGGTGTAATCATCTGAGAGGGAAGGGGAGGGTGTCCTCCTGTCTTTGTCCGTAGGCCTGTCATGACTTAATATTTTTTGCAGCTTGGAATGACGTTTGTGACTTGATGAGCCACTTAAGAGCAAGAGTCGTGTCTTCAGCCACTATTGCATTGCACAGGCTTATGTTGTACCCAGTAGGCCTATAGGAGTCCTACGAGGTCAGGTCTCCCGCCAGTCTACGCAGTAAGTGCCTGGTAGGCACTTGTCATGTTGAAACAAATGCATGTGACATTGCCACCACTGAGACTGTCACCAAAAGTTCACTTCTGTGCATTGCATTTTTAAACAGTTGCTATATAACTGTGTTTTCCTGGCATACGATTGAGGTCTGAAAAAGATCAGCTTGTGATCTTTTGTAGGAACACTGAAGGTTTTTGGAAAGCTGAAGTGATTTATTTACAGCCTTTAGATGTGAGTCCTTGATTTTGTGACTTATCACCTGTTTACTGTGCTGGCCTTTTATTTGGTGATGGTATTGTGCTCGTTTATTATTAAACCAAGCAAATCTTGAATTTTGCTAGCAATTCATATTTCTAGCTAGGGACTTCCCTTTTAATGTCTTTGGTTTGATATCTTTTAGGCTTCTCCCAGTATGTGTCCTGTACAGTCTGTTCCCACAACAGCTTTTAAGGAGATCCTGCTTGGCTGTACCGCAGCAACCCCTCCTAGTAAAGACCCAAGACAGCAAAGTACTCCTCAGACTGCCAACTCTCCACCCAACCTTGGAGCAAAGATTCCTCAAGGGTGAGTAGTGCTGTGTTAAAGATACTTAATCACAACCAATTATTTTGGTCATGGTTCACTGTTGTCCATGGAAGTTTTTCATAAGTTTCTGAGAGGAGGGGTTACTCAAATTCCTTCAGCGGTGAAAAGTGTAGACAGCACACAGGACAACAGGAAGCAGTGTGGAAGGGCGGGAGTGGGCTCTGTGATGGTGTGGGGACCTTTTGGAGTGCTGCTGATGGGTAGAGCTCGGAAGGAGAAAAGAACGGATTGGTTGAATGTGGAAGATGGAGGTCAGTGGGTATTGGGGAGGAGATGTGAGTACAATGAGGGGCCACCTAGACGTGAGTCAACCCCAGGTACAGGTAAGAATCACTTCTCAGCCTTGTCACTGAGGTCTAGTGTAGAGATGTGGCAGAGGGGACTGAAACACAAGGGAGCAGTGAGTGATGGTGTCACTGACAGGTGGAGGTACTGAATAAGAGATGTCAAGTGTGACGAGGGTTCAAGTGAGCATGGTGCAGAGAGAGGGAAGGCCCTCTTCTGGGAGGTAGTGGCGGCTTATGATCAAGACAAGATGTGGTCATTAGAGTCTGTGGTGTAGAGAGGCGGGTTGGGAAGACTGTCCCCAAACGTGGGAGAGTGGCTGAGTACGTTGCTTGCTGGGGGAAAGACAAAGGACAAGTTCCTATGCTGATACCTGGAGAGTGGTAAGGTAGTACTCAGGCGCAAGGAAAGCAGTCTCACAACAGAGGATATCAGGAAATTATTGATGGCCAGACTGAGATTTCTACTATAAATGCTATGAATACTATGGGGTGCTCATTGCTCAGTGTTGAACACGGCCTAGCTTATGTGAAGCCCTGGGTTCAATTCCTAGTACCACCCCAAACAGAAGATTGATAGGAATGCTTGTTTATGAGAAATTGTTCTTCAGGAACGAATCCTCTGTTAGAGGCAGGAAAAATAAAGTACAAATAAAGCTGTATTATTTGATGGGGCAAGAATTCTAGAATGAATTTTGAAGAAATGAAGTCCTTCAAGGATATCTCGAGTAAGATGGGGTGGTGCAGAGTGAGTCTGTGAATCAGTCATCGCCCGCTGTAGTGTCTGCTGTGGTCCTAACCACCTCGGCTGGGTTGGGGCCGAACAGGATTTGTTCTGTTGCTGGTTAAATATTGGATGACTACCTTTTAAGGGATTTCTAGTATTTCTTTTAAAATATTTTTTAGTTATAGATAAACACACAGTATCTTTATTTTTATGTGGTGCTGATGATCAAACCCGGTGAGTGCCTCACACATGTGAGGCAGGCACCTTACAACTGAGCTGCAGCCCCAGCCTGATACCTAGTATTTCTAATACACATATTTTAAAAGTTTTTATCTTCACACATTTGCCTGCCATGAGATTGAATTTCCAAGTCTTGGCAAGCAATAAGAATATTAGTTATATCTTTCAAATTTAAATGTAATCTTCATTATATAAGAAAGTTCAGAAGTTTCTCTAATATTTAAAAAAAAAAACTTTGATAATGGGCCCTGCAGAGACTAATTTTGACATTTTGAAAACCACTGAGATTAACTGCTGAATATAATTTTTGGTTCCATTTAAGCTTCTTTTGAGGGAAAACTAAGGTTCACTGTGTTGTAAGTAGCACTTGTGTTTTTCTGGTTTAAGATACTTCTGTGAGTTGTTGACTGATGACTTTTTTAACTTTGGCTCACAGAAACCGGTCCTGAGTTCTCTATGGAAGCAGCCTTCTCATCCATGCTGGTTGTTGAAGGGAACATATAGTTGGTTTTGGAATCGAGAGAGCTGAAAGAGGTCTTAATGTGCTGCTTTGCCATCCTGTGTTTTCCAGGTGTCCTAAGCAGAGTTTACCAGAAGAGCTTTCTTCCTGTCTAAACACAAAGCCTGAAGGACTGAGAACAAAACCAGATGTCTGCAGAGCAGGGCTTCCCTCTTCACAGCCTGCTCAGGTTGGGCCTGGAGACCTGAAGATTCTAAGTGAGCGCAGAGTTGGCTGTGACCAACCCAAGATGGACACTGAGCAGGAAGGCCGACTGCAGCCTGCTCCACAGCCACCCCTTGGCCTTCTTAAGGAGGGCTCACCTACAGAAGCTTCTCCCAGGGCAGAAGCGGAAACTGTCAGTACCCCCGAGCTGCAGAAGCACCCAGAACATGCACCTTCCACCTCTGATATCTTTTCAGAGAAGCCAGACGTGAAAGCAGGTGTTAATTGTGATAGCTCTCATAGTTGTTCAGGAAAAATGGTCGAACCTTCAGCTTTAGGTTGCCAGTCTCAGAGTGTAAAGGAGACTTCTGGAAAAGTAGACAACGAAAGCTGTTGTACAAGAAGCAACAATAAAATCCAGAACGGTGAGTGTTTCTAAAGTCTTCATTGCTAGAGGGTAGAGGTGGTGTCTGTTTTGTTCTCTGTGATAGAATACATGGAAGTGACTCTAGAGGAAGTTCAGGTGAGCCTGTGTTGAATGGATGGGTTCGCGCTGTGATTGAGGGCTGGTGTCTGTTAACCTCGCCAAGTGGAGGCATTCCATCATAGCCTTAACCATGATGTCACTGGTTCTCTTAGGTGAGCATTATCCCGACTTTTCATTGTAAGAAAGTATTTTAAAAATGAAACCTAAAGTGATCTGCTGATTACTGTCTCTTCAACTCTTGCTGCGATTTTCCTGTCATGTCCAGGTTAGAGGGGAAGAGGTGACACTTCATCCTTACACACAAGCTCAGATCTGAATTTTTGAGAACAGATTACAGAATTGCATCCTCACTCTGGAAAAGGGAGTGTTGGTTAAAGATGTTGAAAGACATTGCTGAACTGCTGTGCCACTTTACTTAGTGGAGGAACTGCACACTCACCAATTCAAACTAAAAGGTCTTTCTGTAGGGAAAGTAGTACTGTGCTTCATGCTGCAGGTTGAGCATTTCTAGTTCAAATATCGTTAATCCAAAATGTTCCAATATCTGAAACTCTTTGCATGTCATTGTTACACTGCAGGTGGGAAATTCTTGCATGATGTTCCCAGTCAGAGGGCAGGCACCCTGAAAGTAGTGGATTTGATTACCTTCAGGGCTGTGTCTGTACAGTATATGTGAAATTGTATGTTTAGACTTGGGTCCCATCTCAAGTGTCTCACTACACATACATAAATACTCTAGATTAAAAAAAAAGAGCCAGAAATCTGCAGTGCTTCTGGCCCTAAGCCTTTTGGATAAGGGGTACTGGTAGGTTTGGGGTGCATTTCAGTAATGAAGGTCATCTGACTGGGTTGCTAGGATTAGAAGAATGAAGTGGCTTCAGCATGGTAAAGATGCAGAGCCTTTATACTTTAAAGGTGCCTTAAATGATGGTCAGAATTATCACAATTTTGGTAATTATCAGAATTGGGAAAATCCGTGTAGAGTAGTTTAAGTTTTTAAAACTTAAACCTTGTTCATTTGAGTCAGTAAAAAATCAATCTGCCCACACTATTTTTTTTTTTATTTACTGCAGGTCTCTGAAATTAGAGGGCAAAGTGGGGGGATTTGGCCTTTTATAGTGTACATCTGGAGGAAGAGAAAGAACTTTCCTGGCCTAGGGGGATTCTTGTACCCCATCTTTTTCATTCTTGAGGTTTAGGTTAATATAGATGCTAATTTGCATAAGATCATACTGTTCCTCAGGAGTTATGTAACTCCCAAAATGAAGTGAATATTCGTAAGCATGTATCTGTTCTATTTCTTTATTCTTTTTGAGTCATCAGCCCTCAGTCAACTAGCTTTAAGCACATGACGGGTTCACAAGTGAGTAGAGTCCAGCTTTGTCTCACTTAATATGCTGTGCAGCTGTCCCCCATCTAGCATGATTGTAAGGAAAGGAAAACCCAGTCACACCTCCTGGACTAGCACGTCCTGCCGTCTGTAGCTGAGGAGTGAGCATGTTTTGGGAAACCTGCCAGGATCTCCGAGCTGTGTCCATGAGTGCGGCTGTGGCTGTTGGAAAGCTGGACAACACAGGAGTCTGCTCCCTGGCTCCATGCAGAGCGAAGAGCTGCCTTTTTCCTGTTGAGGTGCATGGGTGGCTACTAGGAACAGGGCATTGTCCTGTTCTCTTGGCTCTGTTCTGAGCGAGTATGGAAGGCGCTGACAGTTGCTCTCTTCACTGAGGGATAGATGTAGGCAGTTCACCTTGCATAGCTCTGGATGTTTCCTCTTTTTAGCCAGGGCAGAACAGATGAGGGAACCTGGTCCAACTTGAAGGGTGATGTCATTTGAGTAATGAAAACTTTATTCTTGAACTATTAATCTCCTTTATTTTCTCATTTCTTTACTTTTTCTTTCACTGTAACCAAGTGAGAGTGTTTAAGGGTCAAGGACCATCAGTACCAGCATTATTCAGCATGTCATGGGGTGATCAGGCCTGCTGTACAAGAGAGGCAACAGATCACCTCTAAGGGAATTATTGAGAACACTTACTTTACTTAAAACCCTCTTTGGTTTGGGGTCTGTCTTCCAGTTTTCTCCCAGCCTGGTCTCTCACCTGGTTCCCTAGAAGTTGTTTTTGTTTGCCCAAGAACCTACTTCCTTCCCTCTTTGTACACTGCGGTCTCTGAGGAGAAGGGGCTTTTCTGTCTTGGGCTCGCTGTGGATTCTCTTCTGTTGCTGGGCAGACAGTGATTGCCCTGTCCTGTGGTGGCTTCGCCTCTGCTCTCCTCTTCTGTAAGGACCTTGTTAACGTCTCTTCTCCAGTTCCTACCCATCACAGGTTAGAACTCACCTGAGCGAGCTTATCCACAGTCCTGTCTGCTGAGGGGAGCATGTGTGTGCAGGGAATTGAAGACATGTCAGGAGTTAAGTGACGTCTTTAGATGTCCTTAGAAAATAGCCCTTACTTTGAGGGCCAAGGATCTATGTAGGAAAGTGATTGGTTCACTTTTGTTAAAAGAGTGCTGTAAAAAACTCATCTTAAAACTAGACTCTCTTTTTTTTGTGGGGGGGCTGGTACCAGGAATTGAACTCAGGGGCACTCACCCACTGAGCCACATTCCCAGCCCTTTTGTATTTTATTTAGAAACAGGGTCTCACTGAGTTGCTTAGTGCCTTGCTTTTGCTGAGGCTGGCTTTGATCTCACGATCCTCCTGCCTCAGCCCCTGGGATTACAAACAGTTTGCCACCGCACCCACCTAAAATCAGCCTCTCTTGAGTGTGAAAGGGGCAGAGTGACCTTGACTTCAGTCTTCTGGAGAGGTGTGCCCACCTGTTCTAGTATTTTGCTAGTACTGCAGTGAGCTTGCTTGAGGCCTCTGCCTCGCAGTGCTGCTCTGGCATTCCCGCTGACTAGGTTGTGAAAGGAGAGTGTGCCGACCTGGAGAGAAGAGCACCTTCCAGTTGTTCTCTGGTGTCCGCTGTCAGCCATGTTCCTGACATTACCTCTGAACCAGGAGTGGAGAAGGAGTCCTTTCTTTGGAATATTGGCTTAATGAGTAGAATTTAATCAAATATTGATGTGATATCCAAAAACTTGAGATTCTGTTTCCTTGATCTTTTTCTTTCCTAGTACCAGCCCGGAAGTCAGTTTTGACAGACCCTGCTAAACTCAAGAAGTTGCAGCAGAGCGGTGAGGCCTTTGTGCAGGACGACTCCTGTGTGAACATAGTGGCTCAGCTGCCCAAGTGCCGGGAGTGTCGTCTGGACAGCCTGCGTAAGGACAAAGAGCAGCAGAAGGACTCACCTGTGTTCTGCCGCTTCTTCCACTTCAGGAGGTGAGGCCTGGGAGAGAGTGCATGGCATCTGGGCCCACTTGTGCACTTTTCTTCTTCTGTCCTTAGCAGAGCTAGAACTAAGAAGGTAGTGGTTGCATTTCTAATCTATGAGCATTAATCTAGAGCTTTCTGCATATTATTTTGTTTGTTTCTTTTTCTTTTTCTTTTTTTTTTTTTTTTTTAGGCAGGGACTCTCATTAAATTGCCCAGGCTAGCCCCAAATTTGTGATCTACCCACCATAGCCTTCCCAGTAGCTGGGATTATAGGCGTGCACCACCACACCTTATTTTTCAAATGAAGCTGAGAAGCTTAGAAGTACACGTTTTTATTTCTAAAAGTACTGTCATCGTAGAAAAATGCTGAAGGTTCTGAAAATCCACCACAAATTAGGAATGTGCACTGGCAGTGTTCAGGCCCATCCAATTAGTATATTGCATGGACTGTTTTGGATTTATTTTCCAATGCCCAGGAGGAACCTCTTGTTCACATTCATCTTTTTCTACAAATACTTATACATTTCTGCATAAGAACCCATTATAGCAATGCTTGATATCCCATCTCAGCAACTCCTTTGTTGATATGTTAAGATGACTTTTCATTTTTTGCTACTAGAAATAACATGGAGCTGACATCTTCTTGTCCATGTCTCTGGCTGTACTTTGCAAGGATTGTAGGACGTGGCATTGCTAGGTTAGAGGTGTGTGTGCAAGGCTTTGGCATTTGTCCTGCCAGGTTGCCCTCCTGGAACCATCAGCTGTGTCTTTGCCCACTGGTGGGATTCAGGCCTGCTTGTTGTTTCCTTTACCAGCAGGGAGAAGGCATGTCTTGTGAAGAATCTCAACTCAATAGACAAAGCTTTCATGTTTATATTGTATTTTTTCATGAGTCAAATTCCTTTTCTGTAAATTCTTCTGCCTGAGTGAAGCAAAGGACATCCTTCTTTTTTCTTTCATTGAGACACAAATGGTGGTGTTCTGGGTACTGATGAACTTTGGATATAATCCAGTTTTTCATAATTTAGATATTTTCAGGTCCAACAGTTATAATTGCAAACAAGTGTTGATTTTTAATTTCTTCCTTTTCTCCTGCTCTTTCATTCAAAGTTAAAATCTAACTTAAAATCTTAGGTTAAAAAGGTGGTTGATAAGCTGAATGAAGTGCACAAGTAATTTCAGTATTTAAGGATCGTGTGATTCAAAGCAGTACATGCAGGACACCAGCGAGGTGAGCTGCCAGTGCTCTCAGTTTCAGGCTGTTGTAATGAAATCCAGTTCCTGGCTACTGGCTTGCCCTTCACTGCTGAGTGAGTCACAAGTGCAGACGGTGGAGTGTGTCGCAGTGCTGTGGTGCAGACATGGGCATCCTGCATGGTGTCTGGCCCAGGCTGTTCCTAGTCAAGTCAGCTTTGTTCCACTTCCTCTCAGGAGACTTTCTGTGTACAGTAAAGGTGCTTGTGCATTTGCACTTGTGTATATTTTGGAGAAACCGCAGAATGATTGTGCTTCCTCCAGGTCTTTGTTAGCACTTTGGTGGCTCTTGCTGTGAAAAGTGTAACTGGAGTGAGGGAGAGGGAAGTTGCCAAGGCTTTTTAGGGAGGGGATCACTTTGTTGTTCTATGTAATATTATCAGAGCTTTCTTTCTTTAAAAATCACTGTTCTTGAACCATCTAAAAATCATTGATTCTGTGATTTAGCTGTTTTCCTTTTTTTTTTTTTTAATTTAAGGGGGAGGTGCCTTTGCTTAGTGTTATAATAAAGCCACTGTAGTTGAAACTAGAACACAGTCACTCTTTTTGTAAAAGAATGTCATAATTAACTTTCCCCTGTTGCTTGGAGAAGAGTAGATTAAAGCTGTCCTTGGCCACCTCCTCGAATATTTCCCATTCGGCTTTTCTACAGATCAAACAGAAGTAGAGGCCGGGTCTCAGTTATAAGGCTTAGTTGCCAAGTCCCGTTGTCATTACCTCCCCCCTTTGAAATGGCTTTCATACTTGTTTTAGTGTCATGACTCTCCAATTTGGGCTGTTTTAACTAAACCTTGCAACTCTTCTTTGGATTGCTTGAAGCAAGTTTATCTGTTACGCAGCTCCTGTTGTCTTGTCCTGCTCACCCTGCACTCTTCTGGACAGGTGGTTTTTCTAGAACACACTTTGTGTGTCTCCCAGGCTCGAGGAGGTCCCCAGTGCCTAGTGGAGGAGGTCTGGGTCCCCAGCAGCATGCTGAAGGCCTGCAGTAGTTGACCCAGCATACCTCTCTGGATTCTCACCTCGGGAGTAAACTCTGGTTTAATGTTATTGGTCTCTTGTCACCCAATTCACCTGCTTTTCTTCTTGTATGAAACACTGTTTACTGAACATAACCTTCTCTTACCTACTATCTACCTTTTGTGGCAAGGCAAGCTCAGTTACTATTTCTATGAGGCAGGCGGCTTCACCATGAGCCCCACAGAACACTTAGTGACTGTCACGACATCTATCACATCTGGTGTACATTTTGGGTCAGTTTCTTATGTCTCCAACTAAAAAGATCAAAACTAACACATAGCTCATGAAAAAGCCAAGTATGATAGGAAATTGAGTGAGTTCTGGGCAAGTTTTCTGCCTTTTCCCTACTTCTCTGGAGCACCTGAGGCCCTCTCATGCTTCCTTTCACAACAGAGATACACAACAGGGGCTCTGGTGGGTGCGCAACCCCTCCCAGGTCCATGTGGCCTTGCTTCAGCAACTGAGTAGCCTTTTTTTCTTGCTGAGCTGGGCATTATTCTGAAAACAGTGGAGGTATTCAAATCTGATCAGATTATCATCTTCTGGTGACTGGTGACTGTCCTTACTGTGAAGTCCTATTCCCAGCAGTCTGAGCTGCCTCTGTGGAGGGAGTGTGTCTCTGTTTTGGTTTGAATGCAGAATGCACCTCTCCCAGTCCTCTCAGGCTTTCTTTGTGGAAGAAAAAATACAAGTGTTTTATCTTTCTGTTGGCATTCACAAATAATTGGCTGTAATTAATCATGGAAATTACAGAAAACCTTGAAGGATTTTATTGATTTAAATTGTAATTACAAGTTGTGAATCAGTTTTGTGTGTTTTCTACTTTCCGTAGGTTGCAATTCAACAAACATGGTGTGTTGCGGGTAGAAGGCTTCTTAACACCAAACAAATATGACAGTGAAGCAATTGGCTTGTGGCTACCTCTGACCAGAAATGTCGTTGGGACGGATTTGGACACAGCCAAGTACATCCTGGCCAACATTGGAGACCACTTCTGTCAAATGGTGATTTCTGAAAAGGAAGCTATGTCAACTATTGAGCCACACAGTAAGAGCATCTCTTAGGGGGTAGGATTTTGAGTCCAACTTGGTTTTTGTTTCTGAGGTAACACCAAAGTCCCAGTGCATGGTTTCATTTTTACTGAGAAGGTTAGGTGGCCTTTTTCCTTCCATGGCTAGCTTCTTCAGAGTGAGCTTCCTGTATGTGCAGTGGCACTCCTGTGTGCTAGTAGGACAGGTGATGGTGGGGCAGTGTCACTTGCACAGCCTCCCTAGGAGTGCAGGCTCACCAAGGGTGAGGAGGCCTCAGATGGCTATGTAATCAGGGAAAATGGACAGGCTATTCTCTAACCCTCCTGAGGACCAGGGTGAGCTGGTTCCATGCCTGAGAATGAGAACCAGCTGGGGTTAGAAGTGATTGTCAGAGCAGAATTTGGAGGGGACACTTGAAGGTTAGTGCTGGACATAGCCCACCAAGCCCCAGAGGCCAGGGTGGGTGACCCAATAGAGCCAGACCTCCTTGGTGACATCTCAAGGTAGGATGTCTAGGAGGAGAGCACACCTAGCCCTGCCCTTGTTCCTCTGTAGAAGCACCAGGGCATCCGTCTCGTAAGGCTGTGTTATGTCCTCTTCCACATTTTCGTTGCCACACAGTTGAAAGTTAATAGGGAAGCCTTCCCATTCGCATAACCAAGCGTGTTTGAATACAGGCATCCGCAGAAGTTAACCACCACCAAAGTTCTTAACTACTAGACGTTAACAAAGGTAGCTTAAGCACAGAAATGTTATTAGGGAATGCAGATTATTTCTCTGGAGTCTAAGGAATAGAAACCAGCAGTCGGAATCTGAAAGTGCGTGGGTCAGGGGTCTGAGCCACTGAGGAACTGGACCACACTGATGAAGAGTGGCTTTAACATCATGCCATTTTATTGGGTAGTGGAGAATCGGAAATCAAGATCTCATTCCCTGTGATGTCTTTAGGACAAGTGATTAAAACAAAAAAACCTCTTCCCTTTTCAGAAAATTTTACTTAATATATTTGGGTAAAAGTAGTTGATTTAAAGAAATTCCTTTTTCAGCTGTGCGCAGTGGTGCAAAGACTGCAAGGAGCAGCCGTCCTTGGCACACGCGGCCACTTCCCTCCTCTGGCCGCAGGGCTGTTGGAGGCAGTGCTGGCTTTCTTTTCTGAGGGTGTTTTGTTGCGCACACATCTGTCTTGTATGTAAGGGCTCTTCCCCTCCCGAGGAGCCTGTCCTCCTTGCCTGTGATGGTCCTGTCTTCTTCCCTCCTCTGTGATGGGCTGGTCGATGGGAGGGGCCGCCTCCCTGAGAGGTGCTGAAAGCTGCTGCTTTAGCTGAGGGCCGTCATCGTCCTGACACAAGGAGCACATTTCCACTGTCAGATGGGAGCTCTTCTAGTTATGTCGTTTCAGTGACAGATAACCATGGGACAGGTGGCTGAGTTTTAAGAATACTTTGTAATAAAGCAGTCTAATCCAAGTGACCAAAGTGCAGTTCAGAGATCGCATTTGTGAAGTGCTTAGAGCTCTTGCGTGGGTGAAAGAAACAGCAGAGGTTTACTCAGCAGTTGGGGTCATTTGGGCTGTGCAGTCATTCTGGAAGAAATAATGCATCCACCATAGACTGGATCAGGAAGAGGTCCTCTCCACAGAAGGAGAATGCAGCCACGTCAGCCCAGGGCTGCTTGGGGAGGGGGCAGGCTGGCTGAGTCAGTCACGGTAGTGGGCTTTCCTGTGACTCGGAACAATGCCTGCTTTGCTCCTACTCCTTCAGCTTTCTGTTAGTGTCAGGCTGGGCAGGCAGCCCATGCCCAGACCTAGAAGGACCCTCCTTCTGATTACTAGGGGATAGCCTCTTTGTAGGTTCCTGGGTTGCCTCCAGCTGCTGGGCATGTGGTTAGTGTGAGTTAGTCCTGGGCCTGGTATCACTGACAGGACTGAGTCAAGGACCTGACCGTGGACATAGGCCTGTTCCTTGGAGGCCATTAGACATGCTGGAGCATTTAATGGGCATTGAGTGGATTGAAGGCAGCTGAGAGTACCCCGAGGGTTGGGTGTGTGTCTGAGCAGGTTGCTTTTCCCCTGGAGGAAGCCTGTTCCATGCTGCCTCCACACAGGAGCTTGCGAACAGAAAGCTTAGGCACAGCTGCGGAGGGTACTGGTGCTGCGCTGTGGCTGGTGGAGCAGCTGCTGCACGGCCTGGGCAGGGTTTCTGTGGAGTGCAGCTGGCCTCAGAGGCAGAGCTGCGATGCAGGATGCCAAGGCTTGCTGGAGCGCACAGGGAGGACTACTGACGGCCCTTCTTGGCACTCATTGATTTCGGAACCCCTCTCCTCCATAGGACTGACTGATCTCTTGATCCTTGCAGGGCAGGTTGCCTGGAAGCGAGCGGTCAAAGGAGTCCGGGAAATGTGTGACGTGTGTGACACCACCATCTTCAACTTGCACTGGGTGTGCCCTCGCTGTGGGTTCGGGGTGTGTGTGGACTGCTACCGCATGAAGAGGAAGAACTGCCAGCAGGGTGAGAACTGACCCGACACCCCCGCCTTGAGGAGCCTTCTGCTGATGGCGCTGGGGACCCTGGGGCCTGGGGCCATGCAGACGGTCACCATAGTGCGGTATTATTTGCAGGTGCTGCCTACAAGACGTTTTCTTGGCTAAGATGTGTGAAGAGTCAGATACATGAGCCTGAGAACCTGATGCCCACGCAGATCATTCCTGGAAAAGGTACTGTGCGGTGCAGGGGCTCTTCCCCTGGGTCTTGGCTGGCTAGGGACTGGTGGTTGGTTTACTCTGTGGGCAGCGCTGTCCTGTCTGTGAATAGTTTCATAGAGGAAGACAGAGGTGCTTGGAGTTGTTGGGAGAAGGAGGGGTACTTGTGCATACTGGGTCTCTGTGCTGCTGGGTGGGCTCGAAGGCACTGGCACCCTGTTGAGATGTCACCTCTGACCTTGTGTTTTCTTAGCACTCTACGATGTTGGTGACATTGTGCATTCTGTAAGAGCCAAATGGGGGATAAAGGCAAACTGCCCCTGTTCAAACAGGCAGTTCAAACTCTTCTCAAAGCCAGCCTCAAAGGAAGACCTAAAACAGGTATTACTGCTTCTGCTAGATTCATCGTCCTTGTAATTGTTGATGGTCTATTTTCAAATAAGCCAAGCATTCCTGGCAGTGCATTTGACAGGAACACGGGCCTGCGGCTCTTCAGAGACCCACCCTTCCCATTCTTCCTGTTGCTCTTAGTCACCAGGTGGCTCTTAGAAGATTTTAGTTTTTTTCTTTTGTTTGAAAAAGGAAAAATTTGTGCTGTAGTCTACCCAACAAATTGCTGTCAAATTTGTGTGGGTTTCTAAAAGGTGTTCATGTTCTGCAGACTCAGATAGACTTCATGGAGTGTTAAATTACCAACTGTATTTTACCTCTGATGTAACTGAACAGTGCAAGGAGTGGTGCCCCTTCCTGCAGGCTTCCCTCGTCCCTGCCGTCCATCACCCTGTCTCTGGCTCTCCTTTCTCGCCTGTCATCCATGTTCTTTAGGAATCCAAAATTCTTTTATACTCTTCAGTTGGAGGAGTTGGGATCTTTGCTGTTTCCGCTGCTTTTATGTTGTTACATTTTTGCCCACGAGGCGATTGCTCGCTAGGGTGTCAGAAATAACAACCAGTAGCAGTCACTGGGCATTGCCAGCGTGTCTCGTGTGCAGGGAGGGTGGACCAGCACAGGAACTTCTCTCCCTCTCTGGGGCCAACCAGATGGTTTCTTAGGTCCCAGAGGAGTAAGTGGTGCCGTCTTTGCAGCTGGCTTCTCCTCTTGATAGTCATGTGATGTTTCTCAAGAGCTGCTCATCTCCTCACCTCTTACAGCTAAACCAGAAGAGCACATTCCCTCTCAAACTCTCATTTTCCTTTCCTGCCTATCTCCCTTATTTACCCAATAGTCGTGTTTCGAGTGCCTCGTCTGGCTGGATTCTCAGGGAGACAGGCACAGACCATACCGTCAAAGCCACATGGTGCATGGGGTGGTGGAGACATGGGCGAGCCCGGCTGGGTTGGAGGGTGGTGGGGAAATAAATGCCTGTGTGTGGGGTGGTCATGAGGTCTTCCTTCCCACTGCTAGTCCTCAGAAACTCTGCGCGCAGTCCTGCTCCCTGTTCTGTTGTGGCAGGGTTGCTGAAGCCGTAGGATAGCTGGGGCAACTCATTAGGTAGCTTTGTTCTGGAAACTTCTCTTACTAATGGCTACTGGGGAGAGGGAGAAGTTAAGAAAAGGGAATTGCCATTCTTCAGCCTAAACAAAACTCTCCTTTTGTACTCATACAGACTTCCTTAGTTGGCGAAAAACTGACTCTGGGTGCTATGCTCCCGCAGAGCCCCTCAGTGTTGGAGCCGGTGGCCACAAGTGGAGAAGCAGCTTCCAGGCCAGCCTGCAGCGTGAGGCCTGCCTGTCCAGCCAGCACGGCTCCACTCAACTGGCTGGCAGACCTGACCAGCGGGAATGTTAACAAGGAGAACAAGGGTGAGTGTTCCTGAGGACTGAGTCACTCGTGGAGGGCTCTGCAGTCTCACTCTGGGGAAACAGTGGTTGGAAGTCTCGTGGGAGGGGACGTGTTCCTACAACCGTTCTGAAGGTGTGTTTGCAGTCAGCTCCCAAGGCTTGGGGGTGGGGTGAGGGTGGGGGGGGGCGGGAGGGGCGCACAGTGCTGAGACTGTAGTACAGTGAAAACCTGCCCCCAGCTCTTCTCCTCACCACATGGTGCTTGGTTTCTTTTGTACCTCATTGGAATGTGCCATCTTCAGTTCCATTTTTGTCACCAGTGTTTCAAGATGCTGATGAAAATTAAAAGAATGTGGACATTGGGATAAGGTAGGCTTAGGTTAGAATCTAGGTGATTCTGTCTCTGGCTAATTTCTTTAATGTGAAACATCCTTAAAAAAATGTGGTGACTCAAGTTTGACACCATAAATAAAGGGACTTTATATATATATATATATATAAAATCATCTCTAAGCAGGGTCTTCCAGAAATACAAGGTGTGGTTTAACATCCCAACATATAAAAGGAAAATTGTGTGATGAGACACAGAAAAACTCTGTGTAAAGCTTAAATCTAATTATAAATTTTTTAAAAAACACCCTTAACATTGAATTTTTTTTTTTTTTAATGAGAGATGGGGTCTCTGCTGTGGAGCCCAGCTGGCATCAAGAGCCTGGGTGTAAGTGATTCTTCTTGCCTCAGCCTCCTGAGTAGCTGGAACCACAGGCCCACACCACCATGCCTGGCTTAAATTTCAAAAAAATTGTTTTGATAGTTTCCTTTGTTTAGGGATGAGACAAAGGTGTCAGTTGTCATTAACTTTGTTAATCAGGAAACCCTGGCCAGTGCACTAAGGCACTAAGAGAAATCAAGAAAATATGAAAGGAGTCAATAAACGGTCAATATTTGTTAGCAGTACATGTGAAAAGTTCAAAAGAATCTACATTTGCAATACACATTAACGTTGCTGAATAACAGGGTAAATTAACAACAGTACATTTTATTTGCATAACAGAAACAAGTCAATTTTTAAAAAATGCCATTTTCCTTAGTTTAGCCTGGGTACTAGATATTGTTTTAATATTTATTGGGAAATCTTTAATATCATTGGTATTTATCCCCTTAAGTTTTTCTTGGTTCTAGAAAATGAAAACCAAGATTTTTGTTGGTTTGTGTGTGTGTTTTGGTACCGGGGACTTAACCAGGGATGCTTTTTACCACTGAACCGTGTCATCCCCAGCCTTTTCTGTTTTAAGGCAGGGCCTTGTCAAGTGGTTGAGGCTGGCCTTGAACTTATTATCCTCCTGCCTCAGCTTCCTGAGTTGCTGGGATTACAGGTGTACACCACCATACCCCTCAAAAACCCAAATTTTAAAATAATTGTTACTAGAAGATTGCTAAGAGTTGCCTTTCAGAATGCTGTTAAATCTAGATTTTTTTGTTTGGTTTTAGAAAAACAACCTACAATGCCAATTTTAAAGAATGAAATCAAATGCCTTCCACCCCTCCCACCTCTGAGCAAATCCAGCACAGTCCTTCACACCTTTAACAGCACCATCTTGACACCTGTAAGCAACAACAATTCTGGTTTCCTCCGAAATCTCCTGAATTCCTCCTCAGGAAAGGTATGTGTTTGCTTTATTGTGTGCATCTGCTTTACAAAGTTGCATGGAGACAGACAGGAAGATATTGAGAGAAATCAAGTGGGTAGAAGTAGAAGGACATAAATCACATACTTAACCTTTGTGGGAACAGGAGACTGGGTCATTGGCAGATGGACTTCACAGGGCAGGACCACTTTCTCTGATAACATATACTTTCTCCTGTACCCAAGTGGGAACAGGGGACTTGCTTCTTTACCTGGGGGTCCTGGCTCAGGCTCTGAGCATGCACTGATAGGTGCTCATCCTATCTTTAGGAAGGGGACTTTTTGATGATGGGGAATGGCACACTTAAAAGTCTTGTGTTCTTTCCTACATTCAGACAGAAAATGGACTCAAGAATACACCAAAAATCCTTGATGACATCTTTGCCTCTTTGGTGCAAAACAAGACTTCCTCTGACTTATCTAAGAGGCCTCAAGGACTGACGATCAAGCCCAGCATTCTGGGCTTTGACACTCCCCACTATTGGCTCTGCGACAACCGCTTGCTGTGCCTGCAAGACCCCAACAACAAGAGCAACTGGAACGTGTTCAGGGAATGCTGGAAACAAGGGCAGGTAACACCAACCAGTCACAGCCCCTCTCCTTGGCTCCCTTGGCATTGGGGATTGAACCCAGGGGTACTTGAATATTGAGCCACATCCCCAGCACCCACCTTTAAAAAAAAAATTTTAGTTGTTGATGGGCCTTTATTTTATTTATTTGCATATAGTGGTGAGAATCAAACCCAGTGCCTCTCACAAGCTAGGAAAGCGCTCTACCACTGAGCCACAACTCCAGTCCCCCAGTCCTTTTTTATATTTTATTTAGAGACAGGGTCTCTTTCAGTTGCTGAGGCTGGCTTGGAACCTGTGATCCTCCTGCCTCAGCCTCTGGAGCCGAGGGGAAGGCAGGCGTGCACCACCACACCCGGCCCCATTGTTGGATTTTGATGAGAGCAGCCAGGCCTTGTGAGCCTCAGCAGGGAAGGTGGGCTGTCGAGTTTAGAGGAGTGACAGGACAGGACAGCATAAAACTGAGCGAGCTCTTCCATGGAGGAAAGCTGACGGCTGTCCTATGGTGGGCGCCTAGCAGCAGCAGCAGTAGCAACAGCATCTTATACCTGGTACGAGTCCCCCAGGTGTGGTTGCTGGATCTGCAGCTGGAGTGTGCAGGAGGTGCCTGGCCTTGGGCCCAGGCTGTGCTTATGTCATTTTGGTTCCATTTTCTGTATCTTTGGCTTTTCTTTTTGGCCAAACCAGAGTGTTCACCAAAGGAACATTTGCTCTTGGGCAAGAATTTGTGGGAAATGCCAAGTACCAAAACGTGGCTTGCCCATTCTCACAGTGCTTTTCCACCCTGTGTGTCCCACCTCCCAGGTCTGCTCACTCATCCGCCCAGAGGCTGGGGGTGGCAGGCAGGTGCCGTAGGCAGCGGCAGGTTTTGTTTGGCTTATATATACGTGTCATGGTTTTACATTAACATCAGGACTGCACAGAAAGCTCAGGATTCTGGCTTGTCTCCAACAACCAGGACTTGGCAGCCTCAGGTCTGTGTCCAGTGTGGTGAGGACAGGCTAGAGCCTAGGCTGGCGCCCACCGGCTTTATCTCCTTCACATCCCATGCTGCCCCCTGGCTTTGCATGGGGTGTTCTCGGAGTGCGAGGGGGCCCTTTCTCCTGGAGCTTCCTGATGTGGTTGGAAGGCAGGGCTGTCACATAGGAGCTACTGTGGCTTGCCCGAGACCAGGACCAGCAGCAGTGGGGTAGAGACTGCTGTGGGCTGGGGACAGCTGGGGGTGCACTAAGCCTCCTCCCTCTCCGTAGCCGGTGATGGTCTCGGGAGTGCACCACAGACTGAATGCTGAACTCTGGAAACCCGAGTCCTTCAGGAAAGAGTTTGGGGAGCAGGAAGTGGATCTCGTGAACTGCAGGACCAACGAAATCATCACGGGAGCCACAGTAGGAGACTTCTGGGACGGCTTTGAGGACGTCCCAAGTACGTACTAAAGACGCGTCAGGGATGTGGAAGGAGACAGGAGCAGCAGGGAGTCGAGGACTGAGCCTCTGTCCTCCTCCTTTTCTCCTCCCAGCGGGCCCTGGTTGTATTACAGGGACTAGTGTGATACACTTTGTCACCCAGAAGATGGGGGGGGGGGGGGGGGGGGGGCGGGTGGCCGGCTGGTCCTGGTCCATGCAGAGCAGGATGGCCTCAGTCTCCTCAGCAGAGCTGGTCATTTCTGTATGATGCTGGCCTCGGAAACCGAGCTTGCTAGTCACCTGTGGTTGAGCAGCAGACAGGGTCCCTGAGGGCCACTGTAGAAACACGTTTCGTTCCACTCGTCGTGGGCACGAGGAATGGCTGGATTTCAAAGAATGAACAGCATCAAAAGAGGGGACCTAATACAAATTAACTACTGGTCTTTATTTTGCTGCCCTGAGAGTACAAATGGATTTTTTGACCATTTAGAAACGATTGGCAACTGGCAGGCGGGGACATGAGAGAAAAGCAGTGTTTGTGTTCTAAATGGAGCGGGTTGTGAAGCGTCTACCGAGATGAAACTGTATTATTTGTATTGTTTGAGCATAAAATATGAACTTGTCATTGATTTTGGTCTGAATCATGAATAATGGCTTGCTTATTCTGGTTCCTTACAGATCGTTTGAAAAACGAAAAAGAACCGATGGTTTTGAAGCTTAAGGACTGGCCACCAGGAGAAGATTTCAGGGACATGATGCCGTCCAGGTACGGTCACGGCGTCAGGCAGAGGGCTGCCTCCTGGACTTGGCGGGATGAGTTCTTGAGGTGATGAGGAGTGGGTTTAGGGAAATGTGGAATTCGTGGCTTTCTTGGTGCTGGCTGTTGTCCTGGCTAGACCCTTTGGAGAGGAAGTGTTTTTAAGTGAGATGAAGTCGAGGTGCCTAGGACTGGTGCACACGCCCAGTGCCATGCCAGAGCCGAGGCCCACAAGGTGCACAGGCTGCGCTGCACGGTCACGGCCGCTGCTGTGCCAGGGCTCGGGGTCGAACTGGACGTCCTCCCAAGTGCAGCCTGGGGAGGAGCCTCCCCTGTAGCTACCAGTTCTCCCTGCTCAGCTCTCCCTGAAACGCTCCAGGTCGTTGACACATCCTGTGGTGGGAGAGGAAGGCGTCTCTGTTTATGACTGCTACAGTGCTGACCTTAAGTCTCCATGACCACTCTCCCCAGCCTCAGGGTCACCCACACACCTTTGTTCTGTTCACGTCGCACACAGTGCTACAAACATGGCAGGCTTGTTTTGCGAATTCCTGGCTTTCTTGTCCTAGGTTCGATGACCTGATGGCCAACATTCCGCTGCCCGAGTACACCAGGCGAGACGGCAAATTGAACTTGGCCTCCAGATTGCCAAACTACTTTGTTCGGCCTGATCTGGGTCCCAAGATGTATAATGCTTATGGTAAGGAGGAGACGCTAACTCACAAGTTAAGACAGACCAAATCCAAACCTTGAGGCTCTTTTTCAGGGGGAGAGGACACCACCCTTAGCACAGCAGCGCCTGACCCTCGGGCTTCCCCTCTCTCCTTGTTCCTGTCCTGTGTGATTCACTGTCACAACCAAGGTGTGAGGTGGCTACTTTTTCAGAATACACCTGCTTGGTTTAAATAGCACGGCTGTGGGTCTTTTCCTCCTAGTCACTGACTGTTGGCAGTGTCACTCTTGTCAGAGCTCTTCCCCTGACACGGTTGTACCCGCCCTAAAGCAGGCAGCAGGCGCTAAAAGAAGGCAGACATGCCTCTCCTCACTCCTGACACCTGGCCATCAACATTGGTATACAGCTGTCATTGTCCACGGGTTAGGCCATGGCTGCTCAAAGGAGAGAGTACAGGCTCTCTCTAGCTGCAAGACCCCCAGTTTTCCAAGTGGGGACAAGGATTTTGGAACAGTAGAAGGGACAATGACCTCAGAATCTCAGAAGCGATTGGCGAGTCAGAGACTAGAACTTGGGCTCATGAAAGTTCTTTGTGTGTTTTTTTGGTATCAATCTTCCGTTGTTCTGGGAGTCCTTTCCCTGTGACCGTTAGTTTTTATAATCTCAGTTGAGAGTCTGGCGTTGTTACTGTGGTTGCAGTCTTGGGGCTAGTGGCTGGGCAGGTCTCACAGTGTGGCCCTGGACAGGCCAGCGAGCAGCCCTGCTGGGTCTGACTGGCTCTAGCTCACTCTCCTGCCCCAGGTCCTGGCCACTGTCCAGGAGCCTGTGCTGGTGGTTCCTGGTGTCCCAGGTGCACTGCCCGTGTGTCATCTTCCTGAACGCTGCTCCTTGACTTTTCAAACAGCAAGTAGAATCAGACTTTGTGGCACTGGCTTGTGCCGTCAGATGGGACCTTCATTTCATTTCTAGTAGGTTAATGGCTCTTCTTAAAATTGACATTTTTTACTTTTTATTCCGGAAATATTTTCCAGATACGTTGAGAACATGAACAGAACAGTGGTTCCCTTGATATTTTCCCTTTGTCATTTTAAAGTGAATTCCTGTGTCTTCTGAGTTCCCCCTGATACTCAGCACTTCCTCTGTGCCTGGGGCTAATGTTCAGCAAGTTGCACAGGCAGCAGGGCACGCCAGGGCTCTGGCCCCAGATGGGCATTTGGAGGCATGCCACATTTGGGGCATGTCCAGCCCCAGGCAAGCCAGGGGTCAAGGCCTCCAGGCTACACAGGCTGTTGGGGCAGCCCACAGCCTTTGCTCCGGAAGCACTGGACACAGGAGGGGGCCGCACTCTGGCCCAGTGAGTGTGTCAGGCAGCGTCCTCCCTTAGATCCAGCAGTATGTGGGAGCGGGCAGCTTCCAGCAGGCACCATGAGAAGTGGTGCTGGCTCTTGGTCCCAGGCCACATAGCAACCGGAGCTCCAGCTGCCCTGGCCTGGGAGTCGGCTCTGCCACTTAGCTTGTGCCGTCTAGGTTGGGTCCTGGGTACCCCCTTTAGGCGCAACAGATTTTTTCCGTAATTTCATCTCAAGCATGGAAGCTCTTATCAGGGACCTCCTTTGCTTGTCACTGGAAACAAGTCTTAGGATTTGTGGATCTATAATCTTGTAATTAAATATCTGATAAGAGAGTCTTTTCTAAAGGAGAGGACAGCTCCATCGCTTGAGTGTTGTTACTTTTGAGGATGAGAGAGGCGTCTCCCAGCATTTGTCCTCAGTGTCTTCTTTCTGCAGGATTAATCACTCCAGAAGATCGGAAATACGGAACAACAAACCTGCACCTGGACGTTTCTGACGCTGCTAACGTCATGGTCTATGTGGGCATCCCCAAAGGGCAGTGCGAGCAGGAAGAAGGTAGGGCTGCACACAGGGTAGGGCTAACTGTCCCAGTCCGAGCCGGGTCTATGGTCTGATCACCTACTTTCCTTTGCTCCAGAAGTCCTCAGGACCATCCAAGATGGAGACTCCGATGAACTCACTATAAAGCGGTTTATTGAAGGAAAAGAGAAGCCAGGAGCCCTCTGGCACATCTATGCTGCAAAGGACACAGAGAAAATAAGAGAATTCCTTAAAAAGGTGTGTGGCCTTGTTGGAAGTCCTTGTGTGGTGAGCTGACCCGGCTGGCAGGGTTGTGGCGAGGGGGCCTGTCCTTCTGTGTTTTAATGATAGCGCTTGGAGAGAGCTCTGTTCTCTGCTCACCTCTGGGCATCCATTTATTTCCATTGTGTTGTAATCTCAGCACTGGGTAGAGACCGTGGCCCCTAGCTTCCTTGTTCTGAGTGCATTACTAAGGTCCCTGTTGATTTGTCCACTGTCACTTGGTGCAGGGCCCTACTTGTGTTCATTAGCCAGGGACTGTGGGGTCCTGGAAGGCTCCAGGCTTCTGGAGTTTCTGTGTCTTTTAGGCAGGGCTCTGTGTGTGGAAGTTGGAAAGTTGGGGCTTACTTAGTTTTAAACTTGCTGGCACTGAGGTTACTGGTTGTGACCCAGGTGTCCTTGGCTGGTGGTCTCCCTCGTCCATGAGGCATGGACCTGAGCCACTGGGCCTACTGCCTCGCACCAGGCAGGCCCTGAGCTGTTCCTGGACAAGGACCGTTTGGCTTTTCTAAACATGCTGGTCACCTTATTGTTCCCCGTAGCGTCACTCTGTGTGTACTTTTCCAGATACTGGGTCTAGAATAAATTGGATGTGTGGTCATCTTCAGGACTGTGTGATAACTCTCAGATTGTTAAATAAAGGTAGGTCTTTAATGACAGTAAAACAAGTTTCTATCTAAGGAATTTGAACCTACTTACCTTTAAAAGTTCTAAGCCAAAAAATGTCTAAATATAGTGGGTCCAAGAACATGTAGAGACTGCCAGTACCAGAAGCAGCAGCCATGTGCAGTCTTTCTTTTGTTGGTTCATTCCAGGTCTGATTACTGCTCCTCTTTTTCTGCAGTGGGGCACTTAGGCTGAAGAACGCCTGAGGCTCACTCACTTTGGGTCTTAGCGTGTCGCTCATGTTCTTATTCTAGGTATCAGAAGAGCAAGGTCAAGAGAACCCAGCAGACCATGATCCTATTCATGACCAGAGCTGGTATCTGGACCGATCGTTAAGAAAGCGCCTGCATCAGGAGTATGGGGTGCAGGGCTGGGCTATCGTCCAGTTCCTCGGGGACGTGGTGTTCATCCCAGCAGGAGCTCCGCACCAGGCAAGCATTCTGCTTCTCTTTCTGCTCTCTCTGCTGGGGACTTGAATGTGCACTAACGTGGCTCGGTGTCTTCCAGGTTCACAACTTGTACAGCTGCATCAAAGTGGCCGAGGACTTTGTGTCTCCAGAGCACGTGAAGCACTGCTTCTGGCTCACTCAGGAATTCCGTTATTTGTCGCAGACTCATACTAACCACGAAGACAAATTACAGGTAAAACAGACCTGGCTTCTGGCATTCGTGGGCGCTGGCTTCCCAGCCTGTTAGTGACTTTACAGAGAGTCCGCACTGGGCTGGCTCTACGTCTGCAGTGGAGTGGGAGCAGCCCAGAGGAGACCTCACTTGCTGTGTTGCAGCGTAGACTCTGGGAGGGACTGTGCCCGCGACAAGGCTGCTTGTATACTTCTGGCTGTGGCCCAGCTGCCAGCCAGGGCTCTCGCGAGACCTGTGCAGTAGAGCTGGACCTCTGGCTGACGGTGGCCGCTGCAGGAGTGCTGCAGGTCTGGGAAGCTGGGGAAGTACCTGGTTCTGTAGGAATAAGGAAGGGAGGAGAAGTCAAGGCAGAGCTGTCCTTAGAACCTGCCTCGCACTACCTGGCCTGCAGGAAGAGGGAGTGGGCTCCAGGTTCTCCAGAGGCGGCGGGCGCAGCTCTAAAGGAGCCCAGGCCTTTCCTGGTGCTGGCATTTCACATGAACGTTGGTATTTGGTGATACTGCTGGGGGCGGCTGTAGATGCGTAGTGAGGGATCGTGGCCTGAGTGGTGGAGTGACCCACTTTGCTTCCGCTGTTGCAGGTGAAGAATGTCATCTACCATGCGGTGAAAGATGCGGTGGCTATGCTGAAGGCCAGCGAGTCGAGCTTCAGCAGACCTTAGTCCCTGCACGTTGGCAATGAACTACTGGCAGCTGTTCAAACTCTTCAGGCAGGACTCCTGTGGACTTTGAGATTTCATGTTACCTCATCTTCTTTTTTAAACTATACCCGACTTGTGAGGGTACTCTGTCTAATGTATATTTCTAGTGTTTACAGACACTAAGTGTGTATATGTAGTACTATTTACAGACGTGCATCCTGATACTGTGACTCCTCTCCTAGTGCAGGACTCTCACCAAGCTGTACAAACAGCCTCCTGTCAACTCTGCAACAGTCATTTCCAGCTGGGTCTGGAGGGTGCAGACAGGTCCATGAGCTTAGGATTGCTATGGGCTTACTGGTCAGCTTTGTCTCATGTCTGTCTGGCCACCCTCCCACCTGGTCAGGGTCCAGGATGCAGGAGGAAGCCACAGCTAAAGGAGCAGTCCTCTGTGTGGCATAGGACTGGCGTTATAGAGCAGAAGCCAACTACTGTACGACTCTGGGCTAACCATCTGTAGTTACATGGAATTTTAATTTAAATGAAGCTTTGCTAATTTTAAGTGTTAAGCATTTTGCATTAAAATATTCATATAATATTTTGGTATTGCCATTATCTTCTCATTGTGGATTCAGCACATCTGTTTATTGAATGTGGGTTTGAGAGATGGCTGCTAGAACTCTTCTTCAAAGCACAGTGGGGGCTGTAGTCATTTCATAGTGAGTGTCACAGCGCTATCACAGAATTTCAAGGGAAAACTGTCACACTTGCAAAGGAAGACCACCAGTTAATTAAACTTGGAGGCCTGGCTAAGTGGCTCTATAAGGAACGAGGGAAGAAGGGGCGTGTGGTCTCTCTCCTGGTCCTTTGTCATGGGAGGGTTTACAAAGGAAGGTGACACAGGTTTCAGAACGTGGACCTAACAGCAGAGCATCAGGTAGAAGAAGCCCAACTAGATCTACATTTTATCTGTGTAGGCGGTGGCGGCACAAGGAAGCAGCCGCCTGCCAGCAGTGCAGGTTTATTAGAACCAAAGGACAAAGCCACCAAGGAAAGAGTCAGAGGAACTTCCAGTTGTGTCAGACTTGCGAGGCTTGCAGATTCTGAAATGAGCCGATGCTGCTTCTGAAATATCTATTAGGTTTAAAGAGGTAAGAGCCTGGGAAACATGCACAAGGGATTGCCAGACATGACCAGGAAGAAAGATCTGGAAAAAAGCAAAGTAGAACTTACCTGAAATGAAGTGTGATGGGTCAAGTTAGGAATTCAGCATGTGGGAAACGGCAGAGAAAGTCCCATGGAGTACATCGTCCAACAACAGCCAGCCAGAAAGGGAACACAACAGGCTCAGGGACAGCTGAAGGAAGGCAGGGAGCTTGACAGCAGAGACATCAGCTTGAAGAAAACCAAGGACAGTTCAAAAACCCACGGGGTGGATTTGTGTGAGTAGTAAGTCTAGATGCCAAAAGCAGCTCCCCACTTCAGCTGGTCCACCTTGGGACTTTTCACTCTGGGATGGTGTTTACAAAAGGCACCTGTGCAGTAGAAACTGCTTCGGGCTTGGGGTTTTGACTACTCCTGGACTGATGGTGCCAGGCTGCCTTGCCAGTACGAGGGGAGCCGGCAGCGTCTGGCTGAGGTGCATCAGGACCAGTCTCGAGTTAGAGGCATTCGTAAGTTATTTAAAAGCAGTCAAGGCAGGCTGGAGCCACTGGTGGGTAGAGGAAGCAAGCACTGTTTTATAAGTTTTAAAGCTCCCCACTCCCAAAATGATAGTTTCAGACCTTGTTGAAGATGAATAACTAATAAAAATAACCTTAGAAGATTCTTTTCTTTTTTGGAACCGAGGGTCACTTGCCCACTGAGTTGCATCCCCAGCCCTATTTTGTATTTTATTTAGAGAGTCTCACAGCTATGTGAACTCACTATCAAGCCTCCCAGCCTCTGGGATTACAGAGAAGGATATTATTCCACATTTTGCAAGGAGAAATGGTGTATAAGGAAAACCCTAAACAAAGGAGTACAAAGCTGTTTTCAGGAAGCTTTAGAAATGGTTGGTCACGGTTTCAGAACAGAATGTGCTTAGTGCCACTGAACTCTTCACTTGCAGGAATTAAAATGGTAAATACATGTATATTTTTCCACAATAAAAAAAAAATAACTCCCAAGTAGGGAAACATTTGGAATTGAATGAAAATTATATTTTTTAAATTACTTATTTAGGCAGGAGAGAAGGAACAAAGAACAAAAATATTCCAATTACAAGAAGAGATCATCTGACTAAGTAAAAGACCTGCTCGTAAGAGTTTGACTACAGGAAGAAAGTGAAAACAGGAAAATCACACTGTGTGGATAAGAGTCTGCCAGAGGAAAGGTGATGTTTCTACATCTACTACAGCTTCCAACAGGAGAGAGTTTGGGTAAAGGACGAGATTCTCAAGGTGACTGTCGGTAACTTTCTGGAATAGATGTGTAAGCAGACATAAGGACACTTGAGCAGTGAAATGGACTTCGATCAATACCCAGAATATACATTCCTTTCATGGGCATTGCTCTTCACTCAGAAAGACCACAGACTGGACCAAAATGCCACCGGCATTTATTAAGACTATAGAGTTGAAATCCTGTTCGGTGGTAATGGAATTTAAATAAAAATTAACCAGTGTTGAGTAATTAAGCAACATGCAAAGTGGAATGGAAATTAGATATTTAGAACTGATCAATAAAAATTCGACACATCAAAAATGGGATCTGGTTACAAAAATACTTCGGAAGTGACAGGCAGCCTTAAACGTAGAAGAAAAGGTTGGAGGGCTGAGGTGGGGCCCAGTGGTAGAGCATTCGAATGCCCAGCCTACTGAGGTGTCCTGGGTTCCATCCCCAGCACCAAAAAAGAAAAGTCAAGTCTTAAATTTACATTTCCAGACCCAAGAAGAGGAGGGAGGGATCAGAGCAGTAATCAACGTATTAAATGAAAAAAAGGCCAAAAAATATTTTTGTGAAAAGATTAAAATTGTTAAATCTTTCAGGTTAATGGGAAAAAACCAGGCTACTACCTATTGTGTGGACATCCAAAGGATCATAAGGGAGTGCTGAGGATGATCTCTTGTCAATGAGTTTGATAACCTGGAGACATCCCTCAAAAACAACTTACTGAAAATGGCATTTTAAAAAGTACAGGGAAGGGCTGGGGCTCAGGAGTAGAGCACCTGCCTCACCGGTGTGAGGCCTTGGGTTCGATCCTCAGCACCACATACAGATAAAATAAAAAAGAACTGTCATCTACAACTAAGAGAAAAAAGTACAGAGAACATTCTGACATTTTAGTTAATAACCACACCTGACCAGTAGGACATTAAGGAAATTGCAGACCCACAGCCTTGGTTAGCAATGATGTGAAAATCCTCCAAAGGACAACAGAACATGTAAAACAGCCTTCCTGTCTGAAGATCAAGTCCAGGCCTTCCACGGCACTCACGGGACCAACGGGAAACTTTAAGAGATGCAGAATAGGCCTCAGACAAGATCCAGCAGCCGTCCGTGACCAAGTCTAAGGTAAGGAAATGCGTTTTTGAAAAGTACTCAAAGCAACACAAAAGTAGAATTTTTAAATGCTATCCATGAAAAATTTAAAATGAAATTTTGAAAGACACCACTGAAGTAGCAAACCGTCAGGCTCTTAGGAACATGGTTATTGACAGTCACGAGACTTACTGAAAACTACAAGAGGAGCTGGACTAGTGAAGGAGGAGGGCACATGCCTGCTGTCCAGGTGTGTGTGGGGACACCGTGCGGGTGGACACGCTCCCTGCTGTCCAGGTGTGTGTGTGGGACACTGTGCGAGTGGGTGTGCAGCTGCTGGGAATTTTGTTTGGGACTGGCTTCTCAGAGCTGAGCCTGGAGAGCCTGAGGAGCAGCCGAGCCCTCTGCAGAGCTGACTGCCTGCTGAGCAGTCTCCCTCTGCAGCACCCCCAGCAGGACCTCCCTCCGTCTGTGGCTGTGGCAGTGTCTCTGGCCCTGCTCACTGCACTCAGCAGGAAGTGTGGGCCCTGGAACTGGTACAGAATCGCAGATGCAGCACTAAGTGACACACTGTCCCTGGACCCAGGAGCGGGAGGCCCCCAGACTGCACAGAAACATGGTGGGCCACCTTGCTGCCTTGTAATGGGTATGAGGGGGACACGAAATATGACCATTAAAATAAAGAACAGATGATGAGCAAAGTCCAAAGCCAAGTATAGTCCATTTTAAAAAAATGTTTTGGCTACGGATGGACACCGTATCTTTGTTTATGCCTGTATTTTTACGTGGTGCTGAGGATGGAACCCAGGGCCTTGCATGTGCCAGGCAGCTGCTCACCACTGAGCCCCAGCTCAGCCCCACGTACGGGTCTGATTTCTGCTGCTGCTGCTGCTGCTGCTGCCGCCACATAGGAGAGGCCTGAGGCGGCCCCTCTTAGGAAGAGGTGCACCTGGCTCACAGCTTGAGGCTGAGAGCCCAAGACTGGGCAGCCCATCTGGTTGTCATGAGGACTGGCGTCACAGCGGCAGGCAAGGGTGCCACAGGGAGAGGTCACGTGGTGAGACTGAGGACAGAGTTGGGGCCACTCGTCCTGAGCAGCACCCCTCTGCAAGAGCAGCATGCCTGTCCTCCCAGGGTAAGCTACGTGAACCAGGTTCCCCGCACCAGGATCTGCCTCTCGGGTTCCACAGCTCCCAGTGCCACTGCAGTGGGGACCATCACGTGTACAGAGCAGAAAAATCCAACCCAACCACAGCAATGACTGGAAAAAATAATAAAATAGGCAGACTTTTGGCAAAACATGAAGGGAAAAAGGCACAGACGGAGTGACATTAAGAATGGGAATTAAGGGCTGGGTGGGGCTCAGGGTGAGCACCTGCTGGCCGGTGTGAGGCCCTGGGTTCCATCCTCAGCACACATCTAAATACACAAAAGATCCATTTACAACTAAGAATATTTTTTTAAATGGAAATTTTAAGTACAGATATAATAAGGATTTTAAATAAGTAGAATCTAGCAGTGTGATATTAATATACCCTAAATGAAATGGACAACCATAGGAGACAGTTCTCAACAATCTTTAAAATACTATTAAAGGGGTTGGGGCTGGGGCTCAGCGGTAGAGTGCGTGCTCGCCTAGCATGTGTGAGGCCCTGGGTTTGAGCCTCAGCACCACATTAAAAAAAAGATATTGTATCCAACTAAAAAATAAGTATTAAAAAATACTATTAAAGGAATTGTTAGTAATCTCTATAGCATAATCCTCAAAAGGCACCAGGCACAGGGAAAGTTTTACAAATGATTTTGTACATTTAGAAAAAAGATAATCCATTTAGAAACATGGAAAATAGCCAAGAGGATAGAAAAGAAAAAAGAAGAAAAAAAAAAAAAAAGCTTTTTCTTCCTTTCTTATGGTCCTGGGGACTGAACTCGGGCACTCTACCCCTGAGCTTCATCCCCAGTCCCTTTCTATATTTTGAGACCGGGTTTCACTAAATTGCTGAGGCTGGCTTTGAGCTTGGGATGCATCACCTCAGCTCTGGGTAGCTGGGACTGTGGCATGGGCCACCACCCCACTCTCTTCCTTCTCGCCTTCACTTGTCCCTGTCAGTCACACAGGAGAGCAGAGTGTGTCTGACATTACACACTGGTAGAGTGTGACTTCCCCTTGTGGTTTTGCATGACGTCCTCATCCATTCTTGAAGGACAACTGGCTACCACTATTCATCAAGGCTGCTCTGCCCTCTTCCAGCACCTCAGTGGACACAGCTCTCCGGCCTCTCTGTCTGAGATGGGAAGCAGGCTCACCTGACGAGGCTCCTCCTTCTCTGTGGCTTCCCGTGTGCCATCACGCGAGGGCTCATCTGTCCTGGGAGGGGTCTGCGCAGCTCCTCGCACAAGCCTTTTCAGCTTTCTTCAGATTGTCCTGTCCCCGTCTGTCTGCTGGGACTGCCGTGACGGCACCTGGGCTCCGCTGACGTCCTCCTCCACCCCTTCTGCTTCCAACTGGTGGTCCATCACTGTTCGCAAGGCTGCTGGTCACTTCTGCTGCCTGCTCAGGCGCAGCGGACACCTCCAGCACGGCTGCAGCTCCGCTTGGGGATCTGGGTGGCTCCATTTGACACTCAGCCTCTTGGCAAAGTTTCCCTTTGGCTCAGGGTTTGCCTGGTGTCTTGCCATTGGGCACGCATGGCTGTCATTTGCCCAGCCTTCCTCCTGGGTTTCAATGTCATCTTGGACTGTGATGGCCTCGCCTGTGTTTGAAGCAACACCTATCTTGCTTTTCTGCCCAACAGGTTCTGCGCTGGCTTCTTGTGTTAGGACAGATACAGTGATTTCCAAATGAGGCCCAGTCTGCCCCTCCAGAACCAGAGACCATGACCCACACTGAGAGTGGTCTTCAAGGGGCTGAGCTGGGGAGGGGTCAGGAAAGGGCAAATAAAGTGTCACAAAATGCTCCTTCCATTTTAAAATCTCCTTGTCCTTAGTTCAGCCGCTGTGTGCGCTGCCCACCTCTGCTTCCTGCGCTTCCGACAAACTGGACTCTGGTTTTTAACAGGTTTCTTGGAGGGGTAGGAGATCATGTTTTACCATTATGCTGTTACTCTATAAATGTGTTTTTGAAACTGTAATTTCATCAGAAGGCAACTTATTTTGAAAATTCTTTTAGTGGTCAATGCACCTTTATTTATATGTGGTGCTGAGAATTGAACCCAGTGCCTCGCATGTGCTAGTGAAGTGCTCCACCACTGAGCCCCAGCCCAGCCTTAAAAAAAAAAAAAAAAAAGGAAAAAGAAACGGTTTCATCTCTGTTGCTCAGACCTGCATTGCTCATGGGACTCAGCAACTGGGCTCATTAATTCTGATATCACAAAAGAAAACCATCTCCCACAGGAGGCTGAGGCCGGAAGACCACAACTTCACAACTGGCTGTCCTTGTGAAACACTGTCCCCCGCCCCACGGAAACAGGGCTAGGGATGTAGCTCAGTGGCAGAGTCCCCTGGGTACAATCCCCAGCACTGAGAAAAGAAAAAACCAAAAACGGAAAAATTGAGAAGAAACTTGTTCATCTGAATCAGACATTTCCTAAGTTTTTCACTGTACGACGAACAGGCATTTGCAGAGTACCTGCCACTAAATTGAGAAAAATGGCGGCTGCTCTTCAGAACCTGGAAAGCGGTGTGGCGTCCTGACTGTTCCCATAACTGGCTGTGGGGTTGGTCAGGAGTGGGCACCCTCTTCTCCATAGCAGCTCACAGCAACCCCCTGGGAATGTGCAAGGTGGATGAGCTGCGGTCGGCAGCACCCAAGAGGGCCTCGGGCAGGAGAGAGGGGTCTATGGAACTGCCCACAGCAAACTGCCGGGCAACCACCATAAGCTGGAGACAGCTGTTCAGAAGTGATGGACGGGTTGGTGGCGTGGGATGAGTGAGGGTGCGTGGGATGAGTGAGGGCCCAGTGAGGATGGATGGGACCCGTCCCAGTGCCTGCGGGTGGAAGAACATCTCACTACAAGTGGCACTGTCGGGACACGCCTTCCAGACCCAACCCCAGGGGCCAAGACAGCGCCCGGCCCTCTCCAGCAATGCCCCCCCCAAGAAGCAGGAGGGGAGACACGCACACAATACATGGAGCAGGATGCACCCACTCTTGAGGAACAGAAAAAGACACATTTAAAAATTAACCCCAGCGGGTGTGGTGGTGCACACCTATGATCCCAGCAGTGGGGGATGAGGGGGTCGGGGGAGGGGGGGAGGCAGGAAGAGCTCCAGTTCAAGGCCAGCCTCAACAATTTAGTCCCCAAATGAGCCGGGGAAGCAGCTCAGTGGATGAGTGCCCTGGGTTCCATGCCTAGCACCAGGAATGTCTGCTGGGATGCTGCAAAACAGAAAATGCACGAGAACCAACCGCCTTGCCTAAGGGGCTGGAGAGGCTGCCACCTGCCCAGCCGCCCAGCCGGTTAGTCAGATTATCTGCAAGAACAAACAGGCCCCAGACCTAGGCTGCCCTGTGCTTCCAATAGTGTGCTGCACCCTATGGTCATTTTCAGCATGTCGGCCCCGCCCAGCCGCATCAAAGACCCCAGCAGCATCAGTGAGAATCAGAGCCAGCTCCTCTGAGGATCTAGATGAGGTGCACAGCCGGCACGGTGACAGAGAGGACCAAGCCAGCAGATGGATACCCCTCAGCTCCAACAGTCACCATGAAGCTCCAACCATCATGTGTCATAAGGGGAGGGGGCAGCGCACAGCCCAGAGACAGGCCCCAGCACGGCAGCTGATCTGGGCCAGGGCAATACAGCATAGAGCAATACAGCGGAGAGCAGCAGCCTCAACAGGTGGCACCCGACAGCCACGTGCACAAAGCAGTCCACAGGCCACCTCCAGTGCCCTAATGCACAGAGACGACGAAGTCGGCCTGGCGCAAGGCCCCCAGAGACACGCAGACCCTCAGGGGTGGTGGTGACTTTCAGATACAGCATACCAGAGGCACGATGCAGGCAAGAAGACCAGCTCTGAGCACAGAGCGAGCGGGAAGGCACACAGACTGGGACATAGGACATCGCTGATGACCGCGGTGTCACCCAAATTCAAAAAGACGATAACCTAAAAACCAAACCACTTGCTTCAGCAGATGAACACAGACCTAGACAGCTGGCCAAGGCCACAGGCAGCTGCGAGCAGAGATGCACAGCATCCAGCGTCACGAGGACACAGCAAATCAAAACAGTGAGGTGACAGCTTGCTTCTGCACGGCAAGACCCAGGCCACTTAGAGCACCGAAGGCTGAGTCTGTGGAGGAGAGGCACTGTCACTGTCCCGCTGGAGCCCAGCCGTAAGCTCTCGGGAAGGCCACCCAGCTAGCCCCTCTGTGTATGCAGGCCACCGGGGGACTTATGAAGACTCATGTCCCACAGGGGAGTGTCTGGACGATGCTAGAAAGCCACGAGCTGTCAAGCTGTGAGGACAGAGGGGACTTAAAGGCACGGCACTAAGTGAAAGAAGCCAGGGTGGAAAAGCTGGGTACAGAAGGACCCCGACCTTTGGGGAAGGGCAGGACCAGAGCAGCGCTGGCGGGTGGGAGAGAAGGGCATGGACAGAGCACGGAACACAGATGGCTGGAGAGATGATCCCCTGATGAAATCGTGATGGTGGGTCCCTGTGTCACACACCTGGGCAGACCCACAGGACACCCAGCATCCCATGTACCGTCCACTACCTGGCAAGGGAGGCCGGGTCACCCACGGCATGGCGGCTGTGCACGGAGAAAGGCAGGGATGTAGGAGGCGCTGCGCCAGTTCTGCTGTGAGCCTGGGATGCTCTGAAAATCGTCATTAAAATAAACGTGACGATACTCTCAAGGTGAAGAGTGGCCGGAGGCTCCTATGGGTCCCAGACTATTCTGTACGACAGTCTGGAAGTACCCACGGCAGCAACACCAGACAGCAGAATCTCTGCACAGTCCACGACAGCTACCCTGCTGCTGGAGGCCAGCCTTCCTCCTGCTGCCTGGCTGCCTCAGCAGGCCACAGAGCCTCAGGGCCGGCTGGCCATCTGGACCCAGGTCAGCCACTTCCTGATGGTGTTCCACACCTGGGCTAGCAGCTGATTTCCTCAAGGAAACCTCACAGCAGGAAGCCTTGGGAGCAGTGCTGCAGGCTCACCTGAGACCCCCCTGGGGCGTGTCACAGGAGTGCTGGTGGGGTGGGACGCCAGCACACCTGGCCTCACTGGCCAGCTGCCAGCCTTGAGAAGGGGCTGCTGCTGCTGCGGAGCCCCGTGGTGTCCCATGCACAGGACAACCAGCTCACAGTGGGCATGGCAGGGGAGGCGGGAGGCCCTTCCCACAGCGGCCAGTTCTGCAGGTGACTTGCAGAGGAGAAAAGGGGGGACGCAGAGGAGCAGCACGGCGCTCCAGCAGCCTTTTGGTTAAATGCCAGCTGCAGAAGGGCATCTCCCACCCATGTCTGCAGGCTGGGCAGCAGCACCCACCAAGCAGAAGCCCTGTGCGCCTGCTGGGGTACCTGCTCTTCCCAGGCCCACACAGGCGACAGCCTGGAGCCTCACCCGAGGGCTCATCCCCCGTGACAATCTACAGTGGGGCCAAGTGTTAAAGCAGAATTTATTAAAATCCATTTACACAGTGCTTCTCTCTTTCTCTCTCTCTCTCTCACACACACACAGACACACACACACATACACTCTCTTCTCTCTCACACACACACACACACTCACTCTCTCACAATCACACACACAGAGTACAGAGCCCTCAACATCTGGGCAACCAACTCTGTTCTGAGACTTGCATCATGAGGAAGTGGACCTTGGCCCTCCCCCATAAGACACGTCGGCCCCTCCTTCTGAAGATGGGGTGTCCACTGCACCTTCAAGAACCCAGAGCCTCCGTGGAGTGCAGGGATGCAAGCACAGAACCTTCTCCAAATGTAACGCTCTGTGGAGTGCAAGAGATGCAAGGACGGGGCTCTCCCGAGTCGGCGCCCGTGGGACCACGGAGAGGCCAGGGCCAGGCAGAGGCCTAGCTGCGGAGGGTGGCCAGCCGGGACTGCATGGCCTCCAGAGCCTCTTCCTCCTCTTCGTCCTCCGAGGCCGCTGTGGCTCCCTCAAGCTCAGGCTCAGGCTCAGGCAGAGCGTCCGTCACTTTACTGGGTGCTTTGCCCAGGGCCCCTGAAAAGGAAGAACACGAGCAGATGAGCACTCGGGCTCAAGTACTGACCCACTCCTGGACCCACCGGATGAGGACAGATGAGTGCAGGGAACAAGTGGCACAAGGCCACACAGCACTTCATCTTGACACCAGGAACAATTTTTTTTTTTCAGTCAGTGACTTGCCAAGTTGGGAAGTATGGCCGGGAACTCCTGGGCTCAAGGGATCCTCCTGCCTCAGCCTCCTAAGTGGGTGAGGTCACAGGCATGTGCCACCAGCCCAACCCAAAGTCATGATGACTAAATGGATTCTGATCTCGAGAACCTTGGTTCAGCCAGGCATGGTGGGTTGTGCCCGTAGCTCCAGTTGCAGGAGGCAGAGCCAGGAGAAGCCTCAGACTCAGAAATGCAGGTCTGATTCCGTGTCCTGAGACAGAGCCACGGACAGGCCCCGGAGCCCCAAGACCCTAATACTACTGAGTCCTCAGACAGAACCACAGACAGGCCCCGGAGCCCCTAGATGCTAATACTACTGAGTCCTCAGAGAGAACCACAGACAGGCCCTGGAACCTTAGACCCTAATAGTACTGAGTGCTCAGAGCCACAGACAGGCCCTGGAGCCCCGAGACCCTAATACTACTGAGTGCTCAGACAGAACCACAGACAGGCCCTAGAACCCTAGACCCTAATAGTACTGAGTGCTCAGACAGAGCCATAGACAGGCCCTGGAGCCCCTAGACCCTAATACTACTGAGTGCTCAGACAGAACCACAGACAGACCCTGGAGCCCCTAGATCCTAATACTACTGAGTCCTCAGACAGAACCACAGACAGGCCCTGGAGCCCCGAGAACCTAATACTACTGAGTCTTCAGACAGAGCCACAGACAGGCCCTGGAGCCCCTAGATGCTAATACTACTGAGTCCTCAGACAGAACCACAGACAGGCCCTGGAGCTCCTAGATCCTAAAATTGTAGACTTCTGAAAAAAATTTCTAAATCATCACAGGTTATATATATATATTTTTGGAATAAGTATTCTTTGTATCCACACTTAAATGAGAGGCTGGAGGATCACAAAGGTTAAAGGCAGCCTGGCCAGCTTAGCGAAAGCCTGTCTGAAAAAGAACCTGGAATGTAGCTCAATGGTAGCACACCCATTGGTGCAGTCCCTAGTACCTCCAAAGAAATAAACAAATAAATAATAATAGAAATAAACCCCACCAGTTTTAGTAACAGTAAAACCTAAAAACCAAAAATGCACAAGTCCATACAATATCCTTAAAAAAAAAAAATCTTAGGAATAAACCTAACCAAGGAGGTGAAAGTCCTCTATAATAAAAACCATGAACACTAAGAAGGCAAAGAACTTGGAAGATACGAAGACCCCCCCTGTTCAGTGTCAGGCAGAACCAACACTGCCCAATGGCCACACTACCCAGAGCACCACACAGATCCGAGCAGTCCCTGCCCAAACCTCAATGACGTTCTTCTCAGAATAGAAAAACAGCCCTAAAATTCATTTGGAAAAATGGAAGACAAAGAAGTGCCAAAGCAATTCTCAACCACCAGCCTGATGCTGGAGCCACCATACCTGACCTCACATCACACTCCAGAGCCACAGGAACAGGTGCTGCACAGTCCTGGCACAAAACAGCCAGCAGGACCAGGGGACAGAGCAGCAGACCGACACAGTCACCCATCCTTGACGAAGCAGCCAAAAGCATACACTGGAGCAGAGACAGCCTCCTGAACAAGAACAAGTGGTTACCCACGTGTCAGGATGAGACGAGACCCTATCTCCCAACGCCAACTCCCAAGGGACCAGGCACCTCAGAATCAGACCAGGAAGCTAGCGATGCCTAGGAAAAGAACACAGATCAACATTCCAGCTCATCAGCACAGGCAACACGTTTCTCAATGAGACCCCTAAGCTGCAGAAATAATGCTACCATATCTCCAGAGGTGCCAGTCCTGGGTATTTATCCTGAAGAACCGAGGTCAACACACTGCAGTGACACTGGCAGCCCATGTTTACACCAGCATCTTTCATAACCAGCCTCAGCCGGCGTCCATCAGCAGATGAGTGGATAAAGGAAAACGTGGCCTGTGTACACAGTGGAGTTTTACTTAGTCGTAAAGAAAAATGGAATTGTATCATTTGCAGGAAATGGATAGAATTTGAGAACATTACATTAAGCAAAATAAGCCAAACTCAGAAGGTGGTCCAGGGTCGTACATTCTCTCACCTGTGGAAGCTGGAGAGGAAAAAGGGAAAAGGGGAAGGGGTGTCTCATGAGAATGGAGAGAGATCAGTAGAGGAAAGGGACCAGGGCAGGTGGAGGAGAGGGACAGGGCAAGTGCTAGGAAATGACACTGGCCAGACTGTACTGTTGTACTGTGTGCATGTGACAACAAATCCCATCTTTATCTACAACTATACTGCACCAATACAAACATGGAAATAAAACCTCAGAAAATCTAGAAGTAGGGGCTGGGGCTGGGGCTGGGGCTCAATGAGAGAGCACCTACCTAGCATGTGTGAAGCACTGGGTTCGATTCTCAGCATCACATATAAATGAATAAAGGTCCATCGACAACCAAAAAATATATTGAAGAAAAAAAAATCTCCAAGTAAAAGTAAAGTTCAAAAACTCATTAACTGGGGCTGGCTGGGATGTGGCTCAGGGGTAGAGAGCACTCGTGAGGCACTGGGTTCAATTCTCAGCACCACATAAAAATAAAAGTAAAGGTTATGGTGTCCACCTACAACTAAAAACCAAATATTTAAAAAAAAAAAAACTCATTAACCATCATCACTTAGCAAATAACTACAATTTGTAATCACCCCCCTTCCAGACCTTTCCTATGTGTGTTTTTTTACATTGACCCCCACATGGACTCAATGACACAAATATAACGAGTGTCCTGTTCTGCCCACTCTCAGATCCCTTTCTCCCAACCACCACGAGCAAATTCACCTTCAGGGCCACCCAGAGGACAGAGCCTCATGGCCTAGCTCAGTGGAAGTCACCTCGGTGCTCAGGGCTATGTCAGAGAGTCTCACTGCACGCCTGTCATCTGGTCTAAAGATCCTGACCACACCATGAAGGCCCAAGTGGTCATCCACACCTCTCTCCAAGTTGCCCTAACCAACTTGGCAAGACCCTGCCTCTAAATAAAAACTAAAAGGGGCTGAGGATGTGGGTCAGTGGTTGAGTGCCCCCGGGTTCAATCCCTGGTACCATTAAAAAGGAGAAGGAAGTGGAAGTCTGCACCAACTTCCTTCCCAGCAGAGGTATACAAAAGGAACCTCTCCCTCTCATCATTATGCAACTTTTATAAATTTAAAAAATTCCTCATTTTAAAAAGGTGATTATATCATGTTTATTTTTTCAAGAACTCACTCAGATATTCTAAAATAAAAAACATAAAAGTAGGGGAGTCACAGCTACAGAATGAAGCCATTTGCTAACTCAGTGACAGGGAGAAGGACCATCTGAAGAGGGCAAGGAAGGGGAATCTCAAGGTCGTACCTGCTGTGATTTCAAAGAGAATCCTGTCAATTTCCATTTCGGCTTCTTCTTCCATTTCTTCTTGGTCATCCATGCTTTCAAAAGTGTCCTCCAGCATCTCTTCTATGATCCCAGCCTGAAGAAATGGAACACGTCACTCCCTGCACTGCCACATCAGCTTCCACCATTCCCCTGATGCCACCCAGACAAAGCTCCTGTCTCCCCAAGCCCAGGTCACCCTCACCAGGGCTAACACCCTGATGGTGGCCAGGGGAAACACTGGACACGGAGCTCTTCAGAAAGGCCAAGGCCCAAGGACATGGGCCTCCACCTCAGTGCCAAGGCTGGGACCCTCTTAGTGGCCCCCTCGGTGGCCCTCGCAGCTGTCCTCCTATAGCCTGCCTGCAGTGATGGCACTTGGAAGCAACCTGCTGGGCAGGAGAGGCAAGAGGCACCCAGTGGCTGTGGGGGGTGGGCAGAGGAGGGGCGATGGGACGGCTTCTGAGGAGGAGAACCTGAGGGCCCTGCAGCCTCCAGAACAGAGCTCTGAGCTCTGGGCCTTGATGCTCTGGCCATGCACCATGCAGACGGTCATACAGGGCGGCCCTGGCTCCTGGGAGCATGACTCTTGCTGACTCTGCTGACGCGATCAGATTTAAAGCAGCCCCTCTACCCTGCCTGTCTGCTCCCTGACCCCCAGAGGGACTCAATGACACAAATCTAGCAAGTGTCCTGTTCTGCCCACTCTCAGATCCCTTTCTCCCAATCACCACAAGCAAATTCATCTTCAGGGTCACCCAGAGGACAGAGCCTCATGGCCTGGCTCAGTGGAAGTCACCTCGGTGCTCAGGGCTATGTCAAAGTGTCTCACTGCACGCCTGTCATCTGGTCCAAAGATCCTGTCAGGATCATGACCACACCATGGAGGCCCAGGTGGTCACCATGCCTCTCTCCATTCCATCAGCAGACACCCCTCCAATGCTGCCCTACGCCACCAGGCCAGTGCTGGGGACACAGAATGCAATCACACCCACTGGCCCACGGAGGCTGGTGTGTCCCTGGGGATGCATCATCACATGTGCATTTGATGAACATTTATTATCCACCATACACAAGACTTCTCCCACACTCCTCAGTATCCAGAGACAATTGTGAAAAAGGTCTCCGATTCTAAGGAAGCTTTCCTTCAGATCTCGGGGCCACCAGAGTTGAGCCACACAGGCCTGAAGCTACTCCGAGAACCACCTGGCCCCCAGCTCTAAGTGGGTGATAACTGCTAACCCGGTGCATGCCAATTTAAAACATGCGCCCTGCTGACCGCATCCCTTCCTACAGGCTCTGCCCAAGGACTCCTCGCTGCAGATCACCCTCAGCATTTTCTGTGGCTTTTCCTTCCTATCAATTTTCTTCTCTGGCCCCTCTCGCCCAGACTCCACACCCTATGTATCTCTCCAGCCCACAGAAGTCCCCTGCGAGGGAGGAGGAGGACTTTCCTGCGTGAGAACCTGTGGTGAGCAATCCTAGCTGTCAGGATGCTGGTCTGAAGTGGGAACAAGGGATCTCAGGCTACCCCAGTGACAGGTCGGTGGCGAGGTCCAACACAGGGCCCCAGCAGCTCAGAGATTCAGTTTCCTGCTGAGGGAACAGGGGTGGCTGGCAGTGTCTCCTCACCCTGGTCCTGTCTGAAGGCCATTAATGAAGGTCCCTGCCAGGTCCAGCTCCTGAGGTGGCAGGTGTGCCTGTGCTTTCTGTTTGGTCCCCTCTTCCTTCTGCTTGGCAAACAGCCGTCCACCGGCCATCCCTGTAACTAAAGCTCTGCTGGAACATCTGTGCCTGTTGTTCTAATGCTGTCCCCAGCTGCCCCCATACTGTAGGCAGGCACATGGACACCACCTTGTCACCCTGCACTTCTCAGGACAGGCTCGGCCATCCAGGCCCTAATGACCCTACAATAGCTTGACCAGCTTCTGGACGCTGCTCTGAGTCCTGCTAAAGTTGGAGCCTGCAAACCTTCCCCTTGAATCCCAGTAGCTGCTCCCGGACCCCCAGCTCTGGGCATGCTTCTAAGGAGCACCTGGCAACCTGACCCAGCTGCAGCTCAGGTGGCTTCAGCAGTGCCCACAGCTCTCCTCTCAAAGCTACCTGGAGAGCAGCCGCAGTCTCTCTGCTCCCATCCGTCCACCCCAGCCCCTGCCACTTGCCGAAAAGGACTCTCAAGGGGACAGTAGGGTTCAATCACCTTCATCATCTCTTTGGACAGCTCCCTCATGGTCGCCTGGATTTCTGGGATCTTCACAAGACTCTGCATGGCCTTCATGACTTCTGTGCTCTTCTGCAAGGAACCAGCCACTCGCAGGACGGCTGAGAAGGAGACACTCGTCAGGAGGGACAAAGCCCAGTCAGGATCCTTCAATAAAACCAATGGTGGCGACAGCAGGCTGCAGACTTGCCGCTGTGCCCACAGCAGGCGTTACTGAGATGGACCCCCTCCTGTGCTACTAGGCCAGGGCCGTGTGCATCACTGAGCACCAAGGCAGTGGGCCCTCCCGGGGAGCGAGCTTTAGGGAGAGAGCCCTACCAAACACGGGGACCACCACCATGGGGGGAACTGCTCTAAGCTGTGTAGAGGCCATAGACTACGGGGCTTCAGGTGCCCAGGCAGAGTCCATGCACCAGCCCACACAGGCAGCCTCTGCCGCTGGTCCCCAGGTGCGACAAGCAGGACAAGGCACAGCAAGGGTCAGTGTGGGGCTATGTGGTCTCTGATCTGAGATCACACATGTGCCATGGCCCTCTTTAGGAGAAATGGTCATAGCGGGTGACCAGGACTCACTTGACGCTGCCCCTAGCACCTGCCTCCAGGGTCCAGCGCTGCGCCACGTGTGGCTGCTAGCACCTGCAGCCAGACCCCAGGGAGTGTGCCCACCCCACAGGAGTCAAGCAGACAGGGAGATGCCTAGCTGGGGTGCCAGCGCCCCTTGTTCTCGCCACACTGGAGTGGGGAAGAGTCTCTAAGGTCAGCGTATTGCAGAGGGAGCGACCAGTGGCTGAGGTAAGCAAGAAATGACACACGCCATGCGGTGACACCAAAAGCCAGACATGCCAAAGTGCTAAAGTCACCACAGGGCAAGAGGGGCGCAGAGCAAGCATGCCCACACAGCTCTGGGCTGCCTGCCCTTTCTGGAGGAGCAAGCACCCATAGGGACTTTGGCCAGCATGGCGCTGTGTCCCCAGAAGTCCTGATCTGGAAGCTGGGACTGCAGGGGGGCAAGAGGTGGGGCCCTCCAAGAGCTGGCATCTAGACACTCCGGGTTACAGGCACCGCAGGTGCGTAGCTCACCAGGGGAGCTGGTTACAAAACTAGCCTGGCCCCAGCTCCAGCCTGCTGTCTCACCACGAGATCTCCCACACCTGCCCCTGCCCCTGCCCCTGCAATGCCGCCTCCAGGATGCCCTCCCCAGAGCCCAGAAGATGATGCCACCCCATCCTGGGCTTCCAGCCACCAGGACGTGGGCTCCTTTCTCCTCTGAGCCTTTGCCTCAGGGTCGGCTCTCACAACAGCAAACAGACTGAGGCCAGGGAGCCTGGGTTAGGAGGAGTGTGAAGCTCACCCAGAATGGTCACTTCAGAGTTCACTGTGCAGGTTTTGTATGGTACTGGGGACTGAACCCGGGGGTGCTCCACCCCTGAGCTACGTTCTCAGCCCTTTTACCTTCTGAGTTGCCCAGGCTGACCTCAAACCAACCTGTGATCCTCCTGCTCAGCCGCCCAAGCTAAAGGCACTGCACTGCCCCGAGCTCAATCGGTTTTATATTGTGAAAAGGTTACACACATTTCTAATTATAAGGAGGGACAAGAAAACTTGGAAACAGGCCAAACAGTGGGAAAAAATAAAAAATGAACTTAGGAATAAAACATTACAAACAAAAATATAAGAATAAAAAAACTTATTATAGTCATTTATCTTGATAATCAGTCAATGTTGATTGGAAAGCAAATTTTTGAGAGGCTGAACTAAATGTGTTTTGCACCTGAAATCCAAAAGAAAGGAACTATGGTGTGAATGTATGCTCCCCAAAATTAGGGGCTAGGGGTACAGGTCAATTGGCAGAGTGCTTGCCTCGCACACACAAGGCCCTGGGTTCCATCCCCAGCGCGCGCATGCACACACACACACACACATAAACACACACAAAAACCCACAAACAAAACAAAAAAATTCATGTTGCCAGTGTGACAGGAGTTAAGAGATGTGGCCTTTCTGAGGATAAGAACCTCGGGCTCCTCCCTGGTGAGTATGAATAGGGGGCCCGTCTTTCCTGTCTGGGCAGGCATGGCATTCTGGACCTCCATTCTGGATCACCGAGCTGCCCGGCCTCCATCCTGTACCCCTGGCCTACAGCCCAGGAGAAACGCCCTATTCCCTGGGGATCACGGGGCATCTGTTACAGAAGCACAAATTAAACAAGTCGGAGGGGACTGGAGTACAACGTGTTTTCTGCAAGCAAAAAGGCCAAAAACACTCGAGTGCTTTTGGGGCTGGGTGTGGCTCAGCGGCACAGCACTGGCCTAGCACTCGTGAGGCGCTGGGTTTGACCCTCAGCACCACATAAAAGTAAATAAATAGAGGTCTTGTGTCCAACCAGAACTAACAAAAATAAAAAGAACAAAAAAGGGAAGGTGGCGGCTTGGCAGAGAAAAACCACTTCAAAATCAAAAGTCACCACTCCAAGGGAATGAGAGTCACAGGCCACGAGCTTCAAGAAAATACTTGCAGAAGACCTACCCGAAAAAGTGCTGCATCCAGAACACACAGGGACTCCTGAGACTCAGCACGAGCCACAGCCTGACTGAAAGGGGCCTGGAGGGGCTGGGTGGGCTCAGGGGTCAGCCAGGAGTGCCCGCCTAGCATGTGTGAGGTAGTGGGGTCCACCCTCAGCACCACATGAAGAAATAAAGGTACTATGTCCTTCTATAGCTAAAAATAAAGGGGGGAGGCGAAGACCAGTGGACCACTTCAGTAAGAAGACATGCAGAGGGCAGTGAGTGCGTGAAAGCTGATCAGCACTGTACTCTTAAGGGGCCTCCAATTCAAACCAGGGGCTGCCATCCAGGACTGCCGAGAGTGTGGGCAGGGTGAGCCGCTCATTGGCTAGCTCTGGCTCTGAGGAAATGCTGATGGTGATGTTCCACGGCGTCCACACATGGGACAGCCAGCTCAGTGCAGGCGCAGGCAGGGCAGGCAAAGAGCCCTCCACACAGCTCTGCTGCAGAGCTTCATGTATGCTTAACATACACCTAATGCAACAAAGAAAGCAAAGGTGCCACCCACATTTCATGGACTGCAGGTACCAGCGACTCCAGAGCCGACGCAAAGCCCTCCCCGCAGGCTGCTCTTTTATGTCCCAGATGGACCACCAAGCCCTTCATGCCACAGTGGACCCCAAGCCAACAGGCACGGTGGACAGCCGCCAAAACCCTGCACCCAACACTCGAGTACATACATGTACACGCTGGGACGCACGTGCCACCAGCAGTGACTGTGTGCCACTATGTTAGCAATTTGCCGGGGACACAGAATGTAATCAGTAAGTACTTGCTAAGCGAACAAATCAATCATCACTTTACAAAAAATCAATGACATAAAGCCCTAGAAAGCACCTGTTAGACTGAAATAAGTTTCTAAAATCTTCAGAAACCAAATAACTCAAAGTATTGTCTTATATTTAATCCAAATAGCACCAAACTGTACACTGAAAAGTGGTTAAAATAGTAAATTTTATGTTAAATGTCTTTTATTGTTGTGCTAGCTTTTCCTCACTGATAAAATACTGAGAATCAACCTCAGGAAGGTTTCACGTAGTCACTGGTCCTGCAGCCTTGGGCCTGTGTAGCACGGTACACAGAGGTGGGATCGCTGGGTGGAGGGTGCTTGATTCCAGCCAGCTGTGCCCGGGAGCAACAGCAACAGCAACCCCAGGAGGCTGCCCACCCTAACCCTCCACCACACACACTCTGGGAGTGACAGTCCTGGCGGTGGAGCAGGTTAGAGGCGCCAGAGATGAAGGCCGAGTGGAGGGCAGAAAGTGGCACTGCCACAGACGGGCAGCAGGAGGGGTGCCAGCACTGATGGACCTGCCCTGGACGGCCTCAAGGCCAGTGCCCTGGTTATGCCACAGTGCTCTGATGTGCCACTGAGGGAACAGAACACGTGTGCGCATCAGAATGTCCCTTACAACTGTAGGCACTTGAGTCTATGACTTTCTCTAATTAAAAACCTTAACTGTGAAAGATCAGGAGGAAAGAGCACAAAGAACCAAAGCACCGTCAGACCCCAAGCCTGCCAGAGAACCAGTGGACAGGGAAGGAATCGTAGAAAATAAGAACGATTATTATACTTTGTTATAGTACCAATGACTATAGACAGGAATATGAACTTTATGGTTTCATCATCAGTAGACAAACTAATAAAGATACTCTGAAAAGAATGTGGACACCAGCCTGAAAGCCATGAGGACAGACTGCTCTCAGCTGGGTGGGGCTCACAGAGAGCACGTGGGTAGCATGCACCAGGCCCTGGATTCCACCCTCAGCACCAAGCGGGACTCCTCCTTGAACAATCAGCCTCTAGATAATCAACACTAACAACCAAGTAAGTTACAATTCTAAGATCCATGACTTGGATGACTTTATCATTCCAACTGATCAACAAGTTAATAAGTGCTCTTGAGCAAAATGTTATTTGTCTTCCATTTTCTAAAATCAAAAACGATGACATAAAAACCTGATAGACACATCTGTAAAAAAAACTCTTCTGCTTCTCCTCTTCACATCACAATATGCTTTGTGTGGTGTGTGTGTATACTGATACACACATATGAGAACGTGCTGAGGGCAAAACATGGAAAATGACCATCAACTGCTGCTACAGAAATAAAAGAAAAGTCTTGGTATTAATGTGGAATCTGGCAGTCCTCTGAAAACTGTTAAGCCAGGCAAGGAGAAATTGGTAAAGTAAATTACACAACTTTCTGCTACTCAGAATACTAAAAGACACGTGCTCGACAGCGGCATTTAGCAGAATAACTTGTACTGCTTCACTGAGGTCCTTCAGCGCAGCCGACTCTTCCCTCAGAATGTGGCACGTGGCAGTGAAGAGCAGGGTGATTCCTGGGTGGCGTGGGTGCCACTACCTGGACTGGTGCACAGCAGTTTTCCCACCTTTGCTTTTACACGTCAGACGCCAATGTGGTGACAAAGGCAAAAAGTATCTCAGTTCAACCCCATGGATGGCCCTGAAGGGTCTGGGGGCTCTCAGTTGCCCAAGGATCACATGCTAGAAATCACTTGCTCCAGGTAAAACACATGCCTAGTGAGGGTGACCATAGAGGTGGGAGCCACGATCACAGAGGTGTGTTCAAGACGGCACTCCCCTGGCAAACGCAGGGACAAGGCACAGACAAGGCTCAGTTCAGTGCTGCTGCGGAGCCTACAAGCCAGCAGCACGGCTCAAGGGGTAATAAGGAATGGCAGAATTCCTTCTTTAAATGACTCTGCCCCAGTGTGCTAACGTGAAGGGTGTTACCAGGAAGAAAGCATCTCAGCTGAATGCTGGCGCCAGCAGATTTATTTTCCCATAAACAGGACTGAGCCCAGCACTGCCTCTGCAGCTAGAGACATGTTCCTGGGCGAGACTGACAAGGTGCCTGATTACCTGACAAGGTCACTTCAGAAGTTTGTAAGAGCTAGTGAGAGGGGACGGCGTCTTACCGAGCTGGTTCTTCATCCCCATGAGCACAGAGTTCATGTGAGCTTTGGACGCGTACAGCTTGCTCACGGCCTTCCTGGACCTGACCATCTCCTTGGCCAGGACCACACACACGTCCTTCTGGCCCTTCTTGGCAGCATCTTTCACCGATCGCTTCACTTTCTCCTCTTCTCTTTGGATATCTAAATTTAAAACATGACATCAAGGGCAAATCAGACTAGTCAGCACTCAAATCTGTTTTAATTGTGATCTAAATATGTCTACCAAAAAGGAAAACATATGAAAGGATACAAATGAAGTTAAAATAATTATTATTGGAGGCATTCATTACTTGTACAAACAACATTAATATAAAGAGTAAAAAGAAAGCATAATCCTATTATAATTGACAAAATTTCAGAACATTCAATAAATTTTTGTAGTTGTAGATGGACAGAATGCCTTTATTTTTTTTTTTATGTGGTGCTAAGAAACACATGCTAGGCAAGCACTCTGCCACTGAGCCATAGCCCCCACCGAGGCCAGTCTAGTGTGCATAGGTGCTGTACTAGCAGCCTGAAAAACACTGCAGAGCTTGCTCCAATACAGCCGGCCCTCACAACCAGTGCTGCAGCCTCCTACAGGAGTGCTCCACAGAAACCTGCAGTACAGGGAGGCCCAGCCCTGAGGAGTGCTCACCAGCACCGACCAGGAGTGACAGGTCTGCACTGTGTGCTGTAGGATCAGTAGGATATCTTTTAAAGCTGTTTTTGTACATAGCATTAGCACAGAAGGGCCAACTTCATATTTGGGGGAGGACCACAGAAGAATGAATAGTTAGAGGGGAGAGAGAAAAGAGAGCAGCCCCTATTCTGGGCTCTATTCAGTGAAGCTTCAGAAAGACTCTGAGGAAATGCAAGTTGTCTTGTACGCTGTTCTGGGTGGAAGGGAAGAAGGGAGGTGCGAAGGCCTACACCCCCACCTCACTCAGACCATGTCCTGCAGCCTGGGGCGAACCCCCCTTCACTCCGACTTCCTGGGATTGGTGGTCACACAGTGAAACAGGGCAACAAGCAGAAATCTTGGGGTAGAGCCCCAGCACACTGGCCGCCACCGGGAACTGCACCTCTGCAGCCATCCAAGCTGCTCAGCTTGGCTGCAGTGCTGCCAGAGCACAAGCTCCCAATGTCACTCTTCCCGATGAGTTCCGGTTTCTCCAGCACCGTCTGTGTAAACATTGTCCTTTCCCCACTAAAAGGCATCAGCACTTTGTGGAAAACCTCAACTGATATCAGACTCGTGGTCTTACTTCTGGGCTCTCCACTCTATTCCATTTGTCTATTTCTGTCTTTATGGCAGTACTACAGGATTTTCTCTCTGTAGATTTCTAATGAGTTTTGAAATCAAGAAATGACTCTTCCAATTTTATTCTTCCTGGTTTTTGGAGAGGTTTTGTTTGTTATTCGGGGTCTCTTAAGATTCCAGATGAGACTGTGGAACCAACCTAGATGCCCTTCAATAGACGAATGGATTAAAAAAAATGTGGCATTTATACACAATGGAGTATTACTCTGCATTAAAAAATGACAAAATCATAGAATTTGCAGGGAAATGGATGGCATTAGAGCAGATTATGCTAAGCGAAGCTAGCCAATCCCTAAAAAACAAATGCCAAATGTCTTCTTTGATATAAGGAGAGTAACTAAGAACAGAGTAGGGACGAAGAGCAAGAGAAGAGGATTTACATTAAACAGGGATGAGAGGTGGGAGGGAAAGGGAGAGAGAAGGGAAATTGCATGGAAATGGAAGGAGACCCTCAGGGTTATACAAAATTACATACAAGAGGAAGTGAGGGGAAAGGGAAAAATAATACAAGGGGGAGAAATGAATGACAGTAGAGGGGGTACAGAGAGAAGAGGGGAGGGGAGGGGGGATAGTAGAGGATAGGAAAGGCAGCAGAATACAACAGACACTAGTATGGCAACATGTAAATCAATGGATGTGTAACTGATGTGATTCTGCAATCTGTATACGGGGTAAAAATAGGAGTTCATAACCCACTTGAATCAAAGTGTGAAATATGATATGTCAAGAACTATGTAATGTTTTGAACAACCAACAATAAAAAATTAAAAAAAAAAAAAGATTCCAGATGAATTTTAAGATGGATTTTTTCTATTTCTACAAACAAAAAGCCACAGGGATTTTCACAAGGACCGCACTAACTCGGGGAGTACTGACATCTTAGCATTGTCTTCCAACACACATTTCCACTTATTTATGTGGGTACTGTCCACAAAGTTTTGTGATTTTCACTATACAAGTCTTTCACCTTCTTGGTTAAGTACTTCCTAAGTTTATTCTTTCTTATAACTTTAAATGGAATTTTTAAAAATCTCTTTTTCAGAATGTTCACTGTTAGCACAGAGAAAAGCAATTGTGGGGCTGGGGATGTGGCTCAAGCGGTAGCGCGCTCGCCTAGCATGCGTGCGGCCCGGGTTCGATCCTCAGCACCACATACAAACAAAGATGTTGTGTCTGCCGAAAACTAAAACAATAAATATTTAAAAAAAAAAAAAAAAAAAGAAAAGCAATTGTGTTGACTTTACATCCTGCTAATTTTCCATATTAGTTCTAACAGATTTCTGTGGCATCTTTAGGGTTTTACACATATATGGTGATATCATCTGCAAGACCATCTCCCTTCTTCCTTTCCAGCTGGATGCCTTTCACTGTTTCTTTCCGGGCTGCTCTGGCTAGCATCCAGCTGGCAAAGGCAGGCCTCCCTGAAGAGTTTCTGACTTTAGAGGAAATACTTCCAGTGCCTATGGTCTTTGCAGAGCATTTCTTTGTAGAAAGAAATGACCTAAGTGTACTCTGAAGTACACTTAGGTCATTTCTTTCTACTCCTACATTGAATGCTTTTGTCTTGCAAGAGTGTTAAGATCTTGCCAAACACTTGTGCATCAACAGAGAGGGCCTGGGCCCGCCTAGGCAAGTGCTCCGCTACCTCTCCCTTCTTCCCCTCCTTGTGGCCCAGCATGCTGGTCCATGTTTGTATGCTCAATCATTCTAAGATAAATCTCACTGTCCATGGTGTGTGATCCTTTTAGTAATATGTTGCTGGATTTGCTTTGCCAGTATGTTGCTGCATTTCCACATCAACGATCACAAGGGATATCCCTTGGTAGTTTTCTTGAGTGTCTTTGCCTGGCTTTGAGTCAAAACAATGCTGGAATATAAATTAAGTTCTCTGTACTTTTTTTTTGTGGGGGGAGGAGGTCGGAGTTCAAGGACTGGTATTAACTTTCTTTAAATGTTTGGTAGAATTCACCTGTGAGGCCACCAGGTCCAGGGTATGGGTTTTTTTTTTCCAGGCGGCAGGTACCTGGGATTGGACCCAGGGGCACTTGACCACTAAGCCACATCTCCAGCCCTATACTGTATTTTACTTAGAGACAGGGTCTCACTGAGTTGCTTAGCCCCTCACTTTTGCTGAGGCTGGCTTTGAACTCGCGATCCTCCTGCCTCAGCCTCCTGGGTCGCTGGGATCACAGGCATGTGTCACCTCCCCGGCTTGTTTTTTTTTTTTTTTTTTGTAAGAGAGTTTTTGATTATTGATTCAGTCTCCTTACTAGTCACAGGTCTACAAAGATTCTTTTCTTCATATTTCCATCTTGATGGGTTTCTAGGAATTTGTCCATTTTATCTAGGATGCCCAATTTGTTGATGTACAATTGCACAAAATACTCTCCTAAAATTTTTAATTTCTACAGAATTACTGGTAGTGTCTCCATCTTTATTTGACTATTTTGTAATGTGAATTTTCTCTCTCCTCTGAATCAAGCTAAAGGTTTGTCAAATTTTGTTGATCTCTGCCAAGAATAAATTTTGGTTTGATTTCCTACATGGCTTTGTTTATCTCTACTCTTGTATTTACCGTTGTCTTTATTCTGCTAGACTTGGGATGAGTTTGTTCTTCTAGTTCCTTAAGATGTGAAGTTTCGCTGAAGATTTGTGACCTTTCTTCATTTTAATGTGAACATATACAACTATAAGTCCCCTTCTGATCTTGGGTTGTGCTGCATACCCTACGTTTTCTTATGTTGTACTTTGATTTTTACTCTTTTCTAAGTATCTTCTAGCTTCCAAAGTGAAGAGTTCTTTCACAAGTTGAGTAGAAGTGTGTTGTTTCATTTCCATTCGTGAATTTTCCAGTGTCCCTTTAGTTATGGATTTTTAACTTCATTTGGTTATAAGACTTGATTTTGTGGCATAACACATGGTCCATCATGGAGAACTTCTCTCATGTGCTTGATAATCATCGCCTATTCAGCTCTTGCACATGTGTCTACTAGACCGAGCTGGTTTCTCTCCTTGCTTAACCACTTTAGAGAAAGGAGTATTGAAGTCTTGAGCTATTACTGTAGAATTATTTCTCCTTTTGATTATATTTTTGCTTTATATATTTTAACAGCCTGTTATTCGGTGGATAAAAGTATATAAATGTTATATATTTTCCTTTACAAAATGAATGCACCTCACATGACTCTATAGCTATACAATTAAGAAATACATTACTTTGTCTAATGTTCTACACAGTTGTCATTCAACTGAAGGTTGAGCATAAATTAAGTCTGGTGGAGGCTGAGTGAAATGGCCACTGTAACAATGTAACTGATTTCACAAAATAACTCATCTGGCTGAGTCACACTGCAGAACTAAACACCCTTAGGCCTATCACAACTGTGTGGCACCAGTAGGAGCCCCCGACCTACAGTCCTTTTCCTGAAACTGCACCAGGTTCTGAGTGGCACCCACACTGTGACCTCAGGAAGGAGGCTGGGTTCACCGTGGGGAGTCTTTTCAGAGACTACATAAGAAGCAGAGCTGGCACACAGGCTGGCAAGTGAGGCAGCACCAGCCCCTCTCAGGGCACAGTCTCCTGAGGTGCCCCTTGCAGCAGATGTCTGCCCTGCCCACAGGGCACACAAGGCAGATCTAAGTCAGGCCCAAAACTACTTGGGCTTTCTGCAGTTTTAGGACTGGTTTTCCTCCTCCTGACTTCACAGAGTCTCCAGGAGACTCCAACTTCTTGACGTCTGTTGTAACCAAGTCCCTTCGCCAGCAGCCTGTGGCCTGGGATGTTTTTTGGACAGACAGCATAAGGAGCACCTGGCTCTACAAAGACACGTCAACCTTCTTGACCCCAAATGCAATGATGGCCAATCCAGTACATTCGGAAACATGCTTCTGTTGTCTTTAGAGGTGGGATTTGTTAATCCCTTTTGCCCTCCTCTGTCTGTTTTGGCTTGGATGTGAGGTCTCCCCCGAAAGCTCACATGGGAGACAATGTGAGCAGGTCTGGAGAAGAAATGATGGGGTTAAAGCCTTAGCCTCACCAGTGAGCTGATCCTGATGGGACTAACTGAAGTGGGGGTGTGGCTGGAGGTGGGAACTGGGGCGTGGCTTTGGATACATTGAATCTGGAGAGTGGAGTCCATTTCCTGATCACCATCACATGAGCTGCTTTCCTCCGTTGCCGTCTCTGGCCATGATGTTCAGCCTCACCTCGAGCTCTGAGGAATCCTTCAGTCACAGCAGCGGAAAGCTGCCTCAACAATCTCGAGTGATCTTTTCTGACAGGAAGCCTGCGTTGTCTAGTATCCCTCCTCGCAGTCTGTGTCTCTGGCTCTGAAGGGAGTGAGTCTCTTGTAGGCAGCATGTAGTTAGATCATGAAGACTGAAGAGTTTGACTCATTTAAAGTAACTACTGGGGCTGGAAGTGTGGCTCAGCAGTGCAGCGCTTCCAGCTGTGCATGAGGCCATGGGTTCAATCCCCAGCAAGACGGAAAAAAATAGTAACTACTAAAAAGGGAGTTTTTCCTGCATTTTACCACTTGTTTTCTGTATGCATTATAGCTTTTTTGTCCCTCATATCTGATTTCTTTTAACTGTTTTTTTTTGTTGTTGTTGTTGTAGATAGACACGATACCTTTATTTTATTTGTTAATGTGGTGCCAGGATCTAACCCAGGGCCTCACATGTGCACGGCAAGTGCCCTGCCAGTAAGCCACACCCCAGCCCTGACACTATCTTCTGTGTGCTCACTGGATCTTTTGGTAGTAAAACGTCTTGATTCCTCTCTCATCTCCTTCGTGCATACGCTGCAGTTACTTTCCTAAACCAATCATCTCCTCCAACTTACAAGCTGGCTGGTTAATAAACTGCTATTGATGACAAGTAACAAGAGACAGCGGGTTCTCCTGCCATGGAGGTGAGGAGCACCAGGCCAAGCTGCGGAAGAGGAGCGAGCAGGCGCGAGACACCGAGGACTCACAGGTTTCCAGAGGTGACACAGACACCTGTTTGTCAGATATTTCTGCATGTGCTTAAACAGGCCATTTTTTATTTTATTACTTAGAATTTATTTAGATTTATTTACATATTTTTACCATTTCCAGAATGCCCCATTCCTTATATAAAAGTTTGTATTTGGTGCGATTTTCTGTCAACCTTTAACATTTCTTATACTGACAACAAATTCAGTTTTTGCTTGAAAATACAACTTCATCTTTTGAATGCCGTTTCCACGGAAGTCTAGGATAATTTTTCTCCCCACCATGTTGTGACTTACAATGCTGCTGAAAGGACTTTCAGTTCCTGTCTCCTAGGCTCACTTATTTTGGGGTGCTGGGCTGGACCCAAGGGCATGCCTGTGTCACTCTAGTATGAGGACTTACTTAATTCTTTAGGATAAATAACAAGGAGGGACACAGCTAGATCATACCGTGATTCCACGCCTAGTCTTTTGAGGACCCTCCATACTGGTTTTCAGAGTGGTGCACTAATCCACAGTCCCACCAGTGGTATGAAAGGGTTCACCTCCCCACACTTTTCCAACATTTATTATTGTCTGTATTCTTGATGGCTGTTAATTAGATTTTTTATACTGACCACAAAATTAACAAAATAATCTGGATATCTATACTTAATTAGTATGGAAATAAACTGTCTTACACACATGTAGTTTATTTTTATGAGCTGAAGCAAAACTATGTAGAGAGGGTATAAACAGAAAATATAAAAAGAATTTACCTCTTATTTGCCTGTCAACAACTCTCATTTCCTTTCTTATCTTCAATGACCACTCATTAACCTGGAAGAAATTTTAGATAAGGAACTGTTAAGAAAGTCAACACTCAGTGCAACTTACTTTAAAGTATGTTGTATTAATTTCACTTATTTTGGCCACAAAAATAAAGTCATTTTCCAAAAAAAAAAAAAAAAAGAAAGAAAGAGAAAGAAAGAAAAACCTTGAGGGCCAAATCCCCGCGCCTCACTTTTTATCCACAGTGCACAGAAGTTCCAAGCTGCCAAAGGTTCTGAGCTGAAGGCAAAGTACTTTATATCAACCTCAGAGGGGTACCCTGCAGGCACATCAGGCAGTCAAGAGGGGAACAGCAAAGACAGTTTTAGAGGCTTAAGACTTGTCATCTTTTACATGTTAACTGTTTCAAAAACTACTCAGCCTGTGTCATGAGAATTCGGCCTGGCCCGACCCTTCTCCTCTTTAACAATGCCTTCCTGCTTTACAAAGGACACTCCCATAACTCACCCTATTACCATGGAACACTTCTTGTCAGGAGAAAACCTGGGACTCACTAAACACAGGGTCCACCGGAAATAATGGAGAAAGTTTTGAGAAAGTAGAAAATAACTAATGATCTCCCAATTCTTATGCAAGTAAACTGTTTTCCAGTTCTCCACTTTTTAAAAACATTAAAGGAAAACCTAAGTTGTCAGCTGATTAACTGTTGAAAGTTAAGTTTTATATCATCACAGGGTGCTTTCTGACATCTGACTAAGAAGAAGCAAAGAACTGAGTGACAATACAGTAACAAAACTCCCACCTTAAGTTAAAGAGGCTTCTCAACACATAGCCTAAGAAACCAAATACAAGCCGGGGGTGGCAGAGAACACCTGTAATCCCCTCAGCTCAGGAGTTCTGAGGTGGGAGGATCCTGAGTTCAAAGCCATCCCTGTAACAGGCATCTGTTTTTATTTTTTATTTTTTTTGCTGCTCTTGTTTTTTTTTTGGGGGGGGGGGGGCAAATCGATGGAAGGGGGAAAAGTGATTGAACTCAGAGGCACTTGACCACTGAACCATATCCCCAGCCCTATTTTGTATTTTACTTAGACACAGGGTCTCACTGAGTTGCTAAGCACCTCACCATTGCTGAGGCTGGCTTTGAACTCATGATCCTCTAGCCTCAGCCTCCTGGGTTGCTGGGATTACAGGCAAGCACCACTGTCCCCGGCTGTAACAAGCATCCATGGAGACATGAACTAAAGGGCATTAAAAAAATCCTATCCCTGGAAGATGTATTTCCAGTAGATGTTTATCTCTATTTACTCATTCATTCATTCACTCATACTGGGGACAGAACCAGGGTGCTTAAGCACTGAGCCACATCCCTAGCCCTTTTTATTTTTCGAGACAGGGTCTCACCAAGTTGCCAAGGCTGGCCTTAGACTTGGAATCCTCCTGCCTCAGCTTGAGTTGCTGTAATTACAAGCATGTGACATAATGCTCATTTTACTTTTAATGTTTAATTATTTATTTAACAAATTGTGTAAAATATTTATTACATAACAATGACTGCACTCAAAGGAATATTTAAGCACTTAAAACTGTATTATGGTCCTACAATTTTTTTAATATGTATTGTTTTAGTTGTAGGTGGACACAATACCTTTATTTTATCTTTATGTGGTGCTGATGATTGAACTCAGCCAGTGCCTCACACATGCCAGGTGAGCACTCTACCACTCAGCCCCAACCCTCGTTTTTTTTTTGTGTGTGTGTGTGTGTGTGTGTTGGGGATCAAACCCAGGGCCTTGTACATGCAAGGCAAGCACTCTACCAACTGAGATGTATCCCCAGCCTGCTCTACAATTTTTAAAAATATTAACGGGGTTAGGTTTATGTACTTTTAAAGTAAAACCCATTACACAATTGACCACTTGCAAGCGTACAATTCAGTGGCATTCAGTGCGTTTATAAGGATACACAACCACCAACTGTCTCTAGGCAGATCCGTTGTGATACCTCAGAAGAACTCACCACACCTTGATCTACTCCTCTGCCCCCTCCCCAATTCCCTGGCAACCACCAATTTGCTGTCTGCAGAATGTTTCATACAAAAGAACTTGTACAGGGCTTGACTTCTGGCTCCTGGCTTCTCCACTTAGCATGTCCCACGGTCTGTCCCTGGTGCAGCATGCATGAGTACTCCTGTCCTTGTTATGGCTCAATATTCTTCCATTACGTGTATTATTTATCTACTGTTTCTACTTTTTGGCTACTGTGATTAGTGCCACTATGAATATTTATGTTCCAGTATTTGCCTGAGAACCTGTTTCAATTCTTTCATGTATATACCTAGCAGCTCAATTGCTGGGTCAGATGATAATTCTATATTTATATAGATAATGCTGTGTATCTGAGGATGTGTCAAACTTTTTCCCAATGGCTTCACCATTTTACACGTTCATCACCAATGTGCCATGTGTATCTCCACACCTCACCTCTATTCTCTGCTTTCCAGATCTGTTTACTACAGGTAATCTGCTGGGCGTGTAGTAGCTGGATTGTCTTTTTGTTATCAAGTCATATGAGTTCTTTTTGTATTGATAGTACATCCTTATCAGACACGTAATGATGCAAATATCTTCATTCTATAGGCTCTTTTCATTGATAATGTCCTTTCATGTATAAAAGCTTTTAATTTTGATAAAGTCCAATTTATTTAAAGAACACATTTTATGAACTTGTTCTTCTTTTGTTTGTTTTTGCTACTGAAGATTGAACCCAAGGGCAGTTAATCACTGGGCCATATCCTCAGTCCTTTTGTTTGTTATTGTGAGACCAGGTCTCCTTAAGTTGCTCAGGGTCTTCTAAGTTGCTGAGAGTACAGGCATGTGCCACACACTCAGCCAATGATTATTATTTTTTTAAAATATAGCTCCTAGAGTTCTGGTCAACTGGAAGGCCTAGAGTGGGGATATTTCAATAGCAAGAAACATTATGAGCACCCCAATTCTGGTTTCTAAATAGCATTGCCACTAATTAAGAGACCCATGCTCTTCGGAGAAGTGGCCAATTGTTGGCTTCCAACACTGAAATAACTCTACTGACCAAATTTACCAATATTTCAGCCTCAAACAGAATGGTCAGAAGACTGTGACTAAATATATAAAAATCCATGAGTCAAAATGGTGCTTTCAAGGAAGGGTGGTCAGAGAAGTATCTGACATCACTGTAGGTTGATGATTAAAGAAAAAGCAACTAAGCACTCATCCTGCCTTTCCATAGAAACTCCACGTCTGATCACCAAACAGCTGTAGCCAATGAGGAACAGATATTTACAGGACACTGATGTCAACAAATGAGGAAAAAACAGAAAAACTGGCATTCAGAAAACCTTAAACAAGTAGATTCAAGAAAGGGACACCAACAGATGCTCAAGTGTTGAAGAGGAAGGTTAACAAGGAATGGCACATTCATATGACAACAAACTATGGCTCTCAGATTATATTTTCTAGCTGTGTTAAAAGGCAAATTACTTAAGATGAATTAAAATTTATTTGCATTTATTGGAGCAAAGCAAAACAGACCCCAATGTGACTCGGGCAGCTTCCAGAACCAGAGCAAGTTCTGAGAACTCTGACCAGCAGGTGATCATATGACACTTATGGGGAAATGGAGGAGTCACAAAACACTTCAAGGAGCCACCGGGTAGCTGACCATTCAGCTGTTCACAGTTTACACAGTTGGTTGGCTCCAGGCCTCCTGCAACCAACCAACACTCAGTTCCTATGATTAAACCACACAGGTATGGGCTGTGGTCCAGGGCAGGTGTTCCACCCAAAACTGAGCTCCCTGGCTCCTCCACTACTTTCACCCCCCACTCAGATCTGCTCTCCGAATGCTCCCTGTTGCATCTCGGGCACTGCTTTTCAGTTAAACAGAAACCTAAGAGTCAGCTCACATGCAGGAGATCAGCAAACTGAGTAGCTGAAATGTTTCTAAAACTCACCCTCTGCATTCCCAATCTTAGTTAAGACCCATACCATCTCTTACCTGGGCCCCTACCTGGCCTCTCTACCTGTTCCTCTTCCCTCAGATACACACTCCCAGTCACTGCTCTGGAAGCTCCCCTCCTCAGCAGGCAGGGCACACGGGCACTGGTTCAGCTGCCCACTACCTATCTCTAATCTTACATCTAACCACTATCACAACCCCTCATGCACCACTCAGACAGCACTTCATAGCCCACTCTTCAGAATGTTCTCCTGGCTCCTCTAATTTATGTTCCATGCTAACACCTTGTACCTAAAGTTCACTCCCATTGGAATGCCTCCTCTAGCCTAACTCATACCCCAGCTGGCTAATACCTCTAGTGACAAGACTTGGAGGCTTCCTTCTAAACTTTTACAGATAATCACACCCTCCACTGTGATGTCTCAGACCTTGTACACATATATACTGCTGCTCTTACCTACTCCAGTATTTGCTCAAGGTCAGTTCCCCCCAATAACTTTGTACTCGTTGAGATCAGCATCTAATGTCTTAGTTTTATAAACCTAGTTCCAACCCAATGTACCCTTATACCTCAATACAAATATGTAATACATTATACCTCAAGTATGTGTTGTATGCACTAAGTGAAGTTTGAGCTTTTCTTCATCTCCTCACAGTGTTTCCATTTTCTGAGAGTATCCCAGGACCACAGTCATGACTCAGTCTATGGAAATCAGTCAGCTGGAATTTGAAAAGCTGAACCCTCCTATCCAAAGGCCGGATGAGTGAAGTCACCAAGACCTGGGGAAGGCATACCATAAATTCATGCCAATTCAAGAGTGTCCAGCTGAGATTAGAACATGTACTCAATTTTGTCTCTTTCTAACCCCTCTTCCCTCTGTGGGAATATTCTTATTTTTCTTTTTTCTTGGTGGGGGAGGGGGGTAATTGGGGGTTGAACCCAGGGGCATTTCACCAGTGAGCTACATCTCCAGCCCTTTTTATATTTATTATTTTGAAACAGTCTCACTAAAATGCTGAGGCTGGCCTTGAACTTGCAATCCTCCTGCCTCAGCCTCCCAAGTCATTGGGAAAACAGGCATGTGTTACCAGGCCCAGCTATATTATTTTTGAAATGTCCCTTATTTAGCTTCTTTCATGAAGTAAAACATTCTCTCCCTCCCTCTTAGCCAAACAAGCATTACTTGTCTTCTAATTCACATATGGTTCCAATACTTTGTAAGTCAGTAGGTTTACAGAGACCATCCCATCTCTATCCTACTGGCACTTTCTTGAATTAGAAATTCAATGATAAATAACTGTGGCAGGGGACAAAACACTCTCTGGTCACAAGTCAGACAGTATGAAAGTCTACTGCTCGCTAGCAGCTGACTCTAAAGCTAGGAAACTTTCAACAAACCCCAGATTTAATTACAACTGAAAGGAAACCTTGGAGTACAAAGGAGGAACCTGAGGAAAATCTTGGATAACGACAGTACTGAGTCAGATCCTTTCTGATCACCCCAACCTAGGTGTGACCACGCTAACCTCTGAACTCCTTCCTATAACCGTATGTGTGGTATCCACTCCAGACTTGTTTTTTTTTTTTTTTTAGGTACCAGAATTGAACCCAATGGTACTTCACCACTGAGCCACATCTCCAGTGCCTTTTATCTTTAATTTTGAGTCAGGGTCTTGCTAACTTGCTGAGGCTAGCTTTGAACTCACTATCCTCCTGCTTCAGCCTCCGGAGTCACAGGGATTACAGGCGTGCACTACCACATCCGGCTCAAACTTGTTCTTTTTTAAAAAAATATTTACTTATTTATTTTTAGTTGTAGTTGGACACAATTTATTTGTTTTTATGTGGTGCTGAGGATCAAACCCAGGGCCACGGGCTTGCTAGGGGAGCGTGCTACCACTGAGCCACAATGCCAGCCCTCAAACTTGTTCTTGAAGGGACTGTTACTGGCCAGCTATTAATGTCTCCGGCTTATTTCATCTTCACAACTCTCCTTTGGGAAGCAGCGTGGACAGCATGACAGATAAACTTACTAGAAGATGCCTGGTGCAGTGCTTTGAGCTGGGAAGTGCAGGGAAGGCGGATTCTTCATCTGTGCTACAGCCCTGCTACTCAAAACAGCCCTGAGGTCAGCATCACCTGGACGATGGTTAGACCTGCAGAGTCAACCGAGAACTCTGATCCCTACTGACGAGCATCCAGGCCAGTGTTTGAGCAGCACCATCTACAACACCCAGACTTGTCCATGATGCAAAGGCCCTGAAATTCATATTGTCTTTGAGACAGGATCCTCACTATGTTGCCCAGGCTGGCCTCGAACTCACCAGCTGGAGTGAACCCTTCGGCATCAGCTTCCTGAGTAGCTGGGACTCCTGGCTGCCATCACCACACTGAGCTTCAAATTCTTTATTTTATAAATGACCTTACCTAGTCAATTTTGCTCCCTGGTCAAATAAAATCAGAGGAACATAAATGAAACCAAAGTGGAGCTGGGGTTATGGCTCAGTGGGAGAGCGCTTGCCTAGCGTGTGTGAGGCACTGGGTTCGACTCTCAGCACCACATACAAACAAATAAAATAAAAAGTTTCATCAACAACTAATAAAATATTTAAAGAAATAAAATAAATAAAACCAAAGTGTGTAAAACCACTTCACAAACTGGAAGACACAGTGCAGACACACGCTTTGTGCTGCGCTCATACTGGGATCTCGCTGCAGCGGTGTGTTTCCGAAGGCAGGGAGGGACCGTCACCTGCAGAGTGTGGCCTCAGCTCGGCCATTCACGAACGAAGGTGCGAGCTGGGGAAACGGTCGCCCCGCTGCACGTCCGACCCCGGCTGTCACATGGCAGTTCTCACGGCTGGGACCCCGTGCCCGAGGCCTCCCAACGGGGAAGCTGAGCCACCCGGAACGGCAGGCCGGGGCGCAAAGTCGCCGCACCTGCCAGGGCTGCGCAGGTGACACCACCTTCTCCAGGGCTGGGGTCTCCCCGTCACCGGGAAGGCTGGCGTCGTTCGGCGGTGCCTCGCAAACGGCGGCGCGGACACCAAGCAGCAGGGCCGCTGGCGGAGGGCGCCGCAGGACGGCAGCGGAGGGCAGCGCGACGCGTCGGGAGGCCCCGAGGGGCGGACGGCTCCAAGCCCGCGTCCTCCGACCTCGCACCGCGGCGCAGGGCAGCCCGGCGGGCCCTCCGCGGGCCCCGCCGCCGCCGCCCGACGCGCCGGGCAGGCCCGGGGACGCCGACCCCCAGCCCCGCGGCGAGCAATGCCCGCGGGGTTTCCGACCCCCACGCCCACGCGCGCACGCCCACTCGCCGGTCGCCGCCGCAGGGCTCACCAGCTCTTTGGGCGGCTTCTCCTGGGTTTTTCCAAACAGCCCCATGGCGAACTGAACTCGTCTTGCCCCTTCCGGCTTTCCGTTCCCTGCGCCCAGGCAGGTCCCGGCAGCCGCCTGGGCGGGGCCGCCGAGAGGACAGGAATCCCGACGCCGGGGGAGGGCGCGACGGCAGTGGGGTGCGCACGCGCAGCACGCCCAAAGGAGGGGCGCGATGGCGCGAGTGGTGCGCACGCGTCGTGCGCATGGAGGAGCGCGCGGCTGCGGTGACGACAACTGCGCACGCCCGGAGGAGGGCGGGGCGGGGCCGTCTAGAAAGAGCAAGACTGACATCACTGCGCGCGTGCCCGGGAGATTGTGAAGTGTGGAGTGACCCTTGATGACGCCAACCTGCGTTTGCGCCGGAAGTCCGCGGCCCCTCCCAGATAAGGGTATTTACGACCGCTTCCCGGGGCCGGTGGCTTCCGGGGCAAGCGGGACCCCGTGTCTGGCGGGCCCTGCTCTCCCGCGGGGTAGCTAGCGCCAGGCACCCCAAGGGGACCGCTCGGCCCCCTGGGCGCGCTCGGGGGGGACCAGCGCGCTGCCGCTGCCGTCGCCGCCTCCTAGCGGTGGAGGGGCCGCACCCGCCTCGCCTCTGCTGGGACCCTCGGAGTGGGAGGAGGACTGCCTGAGGGCTAGGGCCAAGGCCCCGCCGGCCAGCCGCCCCCCTGTCACCCTGCAGGCCACGGAAGGACGCGGCTCGCGGACGCCCCAGGAGGAGGGGCGAAGGCTGGGACCTCGTCGGCAGCGCGGGTCGTCCCGGCAGCCACCGTCAGTGCGGTTGCCCCAGGACTGGCTCTGCGGAGGTCAGCAGTACTCGAGGGGCAGTTTGGTTCCTTGGTGAGATGATGCTCCTGCCTAGGGGAGCCCTCTTTTCCCCCAGGAGGCGACTGCCGCCACTTAAGAGGGCATCCGTCCTCTTAAGCATGCTGTCGCTTGGGGTGGTTTCAGTCCCTTGTCAAAGATGGTGACCAACCAGGTCAGTAGTTCCTGGAGTCCACGGTAACTGAAGAAGGAGGTGGCTCAGAAGAGAGAGAAAAGGCAAATGGAGTTGGTTAGGTCAGTAACTGGACCCTCTACACTCTGGAGAGATTTGAGCAGTTTGTTAAAGTGCTGAACATAGACCTCTCCTGTAACCTAGCCATTCCACACCTGCTCTTTGCCCAACAGGAAAGAGTATGTGCCCTTAAAAAGAGCTGTGCTAATGGCCCAAACTGGAAATGATCCACATGTCCATCAATAGGTCAGTCAGTAAACCAATCGTGATAGATCCATGGAATGAAATATCTCCCAGGGATAAAAAAAGCGCAAGTTTGACGTATCCAACAGCACGAATAAATCCCATGAACATGCTAAGTGGAAGATATCAGTATAGAAAATACAAACGATATGACAGAAAGTATATGACCAGTGGTTGCTGGGGAATGGATGGGTCTGGGAGGGAAGGAAGGGTTACAAAGAGACACAGGAAATTTTGCAGGGGTTTGGATATTATCTTGATTGAGGTGATGATTTCACTTGTATCTACATTGTCAAGTTTGTCAAATTAGATGAACTTGTAGTTACTCTTATGTCAATCATATGTCAATGTAAAGTTCTTTAAAACTTCCATTCTTACTTCCTTAGGGGAAAGATCTCAAGACAATTCTAAGTGCGAATCCTTCAAAACTTTCCCCTAGAGAATGTATATCTGTACGTAATAGGAATTACATGATACATGTTGTTAAATACATATACATATTGTTCTGCATCTCCTTTAAAATTCTTTTATGTAAATTTTCATCAGTGTCAATATTTACAGGTATAGGATTCTGTAGAAGGAATGTACCATAATTTAATCATTTCTCTGCTTCACAACATTTAAGTTGAATGCTGCACATTCACATTTGGAATTTTTAAACATAATACCAATATACTCCATGCAGGTTGTACTATTTTAATTTCTCTGAGCATCTTTTAATATTTTTTTTTTATTTTTACACAATACCTTTTTATTTTTAATGTGGTGCTGAGTAACGAACCCAGAACCTCACACATGCTAGGCGAGTGCTGTACCACTGAGTCACAACCCCAGCCCTCTGAGCATCTTTTTATTTGTTAGCCACTTGGATTTCTGTAAATTACCTCTTAATATCATTTGCCCATTTCCCATTGAGTTATCTTCCTTTCTTCCTTTCCTTCTTATCTCTCGTATAAGAAGATTTTCAAAATATGAGATATCTAGGTCTGAGGACATTTTTGTCCTTTTGAGAATAAACTACAATTTTTCAAGTAGAAGGATACTGGTCTGCCAATAAGTGAACAATACTTGATCAAATGCCTCCTGTGTGCCAGGCTATGGGAAGATGACAGTGGACAGAAAAGAACCTCATATAATCTGGTGAGGACAGTCATTAAACAACGGTGATGAATAGAATTGAATGAATTAATCTTGTGATAATCAGCTTTCTATTACTGTGACAAAAATACTTGAGAAAAACAAGGATTTACTTTGGCTCATGGTTTCATAGGTTTTGGTTCATGATCACTCCATGCATTGTTTCTGGGCCTGTGTTGAGATAGAACATCATATAGGGAAGGCATGCTCCCCTCATGGTAGCCAGAATCAGAGCGTAAGGGGCAAGATATACCCTGTTTCCTCCACGAGGCCCAACCTCCTGAAGTCTCCACTGCTTCCCCAATAGCACCTCTGTCCAAGCCTCTAAAAGGTGAGCCTTGGGGACATTCCAGATCCAAACTGCTGCGACCAAGAAGGTGCAGAGTTCTGAGTCCCCCCGCCCAGCCTTCTGACTAGAGACCTAGTGATGAGTGGCCTTCCTGTGAGCAGATGGTGTATCTGCTGAGAGAGACTTGATGTGTGAACTGGTAGAGAGATGAAGACTATCTGTAGCAAGGAATCAACACGCGCCAAAAAGCCTTCCCAGCGTCATATCCTAAAGCCATGCTTGTTCAAATGCTGGACATCAAGGCGGGAGTGTAAATGAAAAAATGTTGGATTTGGCACTGGCCCCCTCAGTGGGCTATGGAGCCACAAATGCTGAGAGCAAGGAAGGAGACTGCCTCTTTCTCCCTCACATTTTTCAGGTCACCCTCAGCATCACATGCTGAGGTTGCCTTGGCACTGGACAAGGCACTGTCTCCCTTGCTGTGCCTGCAGTTTGTCTTTCCTAGGTGCCCCAGGGAGCGGGTGGATCCTCCCACCTGCTGAGTCTCACATCTGAGGGGTCGGAAGAGCTAAGTGAGCATTGCCACTCTGCGCCTGCCAAAGTCGGCATGCGTTTAGCAGGATCACACTCCCTGCCATATGTTCATGCACACTGGTAAAGGTTTTATGTGCATTCTCTTCGTGATCCTTGAAACACATTAAATAGAAACATCCTTGACTTAAATCCTCTCAATTTGGAATGAAAATAGAAGTGAGAATGAGAACTGGTCTTCCTCACCTCCCAGTTCGACCTTGCTCACTTCCCTAGGATGTCCAGTCCAGGGAAGCTTCCCAGCTCAGCTGTTCCCATGGGCCAGAATGTCAAAAGAAAAGCTTTGGGCAAGAAAGCCACAGCCCAATTCTGGCAGGAATTTTGGCTAATAAAACCAAGATACATCCTATTGTGTAAACTGGTGAGTGCTGTAGAAAATGTCAGCTGTACACCAGCCTTTGAAAATGGAATTCATCTCGGTGACAATAACTTTGACCTTCGGGTTCAAGGAGCTTCCGACCCACAGCTCATGACTTGAAACCTTGAGTCATCTCTTGCCTGTTTCCAGCCTTCCTTTACCACCCTTCCAACGAGCCTTGGCTGTGGGTGGAATGTGAATTGTTCCCCTCAACCTCATGCTGGGGGTTAGTGCCATTGTGAACTATTTAGAGATGATTAGAGGTAGCACCTTGAGGGAAAGAGTAGGATCCCATGGAGTCATTAGGGTGGAGAACTGAATGCTGAATGCTGGTGACCCTAAGAAGGAGACCTGAGAGACACCAAGATGCATGCACTACTTGTCTCCCAACTCGTGGTGCCCTGTGCCCTCAGGACCCACCAGGAGACTCACAGATATAGCCCCTTCACCCTTGACCAGAACTGTGAACCAAAACAAACCTCGTTTCTTTAAAACTCACCCAGTCTGTGGCATTAATAGCAAAAAAAAAAAAAAAGGACTAACACATCTGTGTATTAGACCCTTAGGATTGCTGTAACAAAGTACCAGAACTGGGTGGCTTGGAACTTATGAAAATGTTGGCAGGACCCACACTCCCTTTGAGGCTCTGAATAGTCTCTTTCTATTCCTGCTCCTGGCTTCTGGCGACAGCTGCCATCATCAGCATTGCTCAGCTCACAACTGTGTCACTGCAGTCTTCCTCTTTCTCCCTTACATGAGGTGGATTAAGAGCCCTCCTAAATCCTGGATGACATCTTAGCAATTTACATACGCAATGACTCCACTTCCAAATAAGGTCACATACTGAGGTACTGGATGTTAGGATAGCAACTTTTTTTTTTTTAATTTCTAAGCATTTGTATGAGTCTATAGAATAATGAGTTTCATTGTGGCAAATTCATACATGCATAAAATATACTCTAACCAAAGTATGGTCAAAGTAGTATCTTTTTAAATTTTTTTAATTTATTCTAATTTGTTCTATATGACTTCAGAATGCATTTCAATTCATAGTACACATAGAGCACAATTTTTCATGTCTCTGGTTGTACCCAAAGTAGAGTCACACCATTTGAGCCTTCATACATGTACCTAGGGTAACGATGACCATCTTATTCCACCATCTTTCCTACCCTCATGTCCCTTCCCTTCTCTTCCTTTCCCTTTGCCCTATCTAAAGTTCCTCCATTCCTCCTATTCTCCCACCCCCATCCCCATTATGAATCAGCATCCTCATATCAGAGAAAACATTTGGCATTTGGTTTGGGGGGATTGGCTTACTTCACTTAGCATTATATTCTACAACTCCATCCATTTCCCTGCAAATGCCATGATTTTATTCTTTTAATGCTGAGTAATATTCCACTGTGTATAATATATACCACATTTTTTTAATCCATTCATCTACTGAAGGGCATCTAGGTTGGTTCCACAGTTTAGCTATTGTGAATTGTGCTGCTGCGTCCCTATAATA